GAAGGGAAGACAAGTAATGGACCTTCTTCTTCAGCGGCGAGGAAGCTAAATTAAGGGTACAGAGGAGGTGATCAAGGCCGCGGCAGGAAACACAGAGCGGGAATGAAGTGATACGTCTTTGTAGGGACACAGAGAAAAGGGGACGTATAGCGTCGAAAAGAAGTGCTACGCCTTCTTTTTAGCAGCAAGGAGGCAAGATTAAGATTGCAAAGGAGGTGGTAAAGGTCACAGCGAGAAACACAGAGTGGAAAAGATGTAATAGACCTTCTTCAGGAGCAGAGAGAAGCCTGGGGGATCACAGAAGGACTTTTCCCAGAACTAGCAAGATACTTTAATGCTAGCTCTATAGCGCTTTTCCTTGAGTAGCGGGGAGGCGAACTTATGGTTATAGCGGGGGTAATAGTCTAGATTATAAGGTTATGGGGACGAATTTCAGGATCCTTAGGTGGGAACATTCTTCTACAATGACCTGTGTATCTAACCTAGTTTGATATACAGGAATTAGAGACAATGGAATGAAGCCGAATAGTTGGGCGCGTAAAGTATCGGACACTCGAAAGCAACACGCAGTTGGAGTGGCCTAGATAGTGGTAATATTCGGCATAGACTTGGAATGGTTATGAAAGGATTTTCTGTACAATAATTCACGACCACCAGTAGCGAGGGCGGCCAAACCGTCACAGCCATAGGGTTTGCACGCTCGAACTGCGACTACCAAGCACCGTTATGTACAGCTACAAATCACGTGTACGGAGGAGTAGCGAGGGGTTCGAGCATGTTTGCACTACAGATGGGGTGTTTCGTGACACCGGGGGGACGCTACCACTACGATTCCCGTCGAACTGAGGATTCATACTCGGGTAATTTCCACTATGAACCCTCGGGCTGTGCCAGTGAGTCTCGAAGTGCCTCGGAATGAGGTATGCGGCTTCCTGAGGCCTCACATTCGCACTCGCGTCGATACGAGGAGCCCCGTCCGGCCTTGGAACTGCGGGCACACTCATGAGGACTCCATTATCGGTCTAGATCCTCCCATTGCACCAGCCCCGTCGACCCTCCACCTGCACCTCCATTCCTGCCCCGCGTTGCTATAAGCATTGATCTGTATGTTTTCTTCAGCGTTCCTCGGGCCGCCTCTCAAGTCGAAATCAAGGACCCGCATCAAAAACTCTCCATACTGCCCCATCCGGACCGAGCGGAGCTTGAGCATAAGGAAGGCTAACAACCGATAGGCAGAGATCTACTCCTGCAAATGATGCCATAAGTGAGCCGCTATTAAGTGAGAAGTTTGATCGTACGGGGGTGATTCGGCCAGTTTAGAAGAGTAGGGAGAAAAGAGAGGATGAGCAGGATGAAAGAAAGGTAAGTGATATTTAACGCATAATAGTAGGACCTCCTGGTGGGGTTCCGCAAATGAAGTTAATTTGTGCTTATTATTATTATGGCTTTGAGTGATCGAAAAGAACTATGAAGCGATTCAAGAAAGGCGCTAGAGTGTGAAATCGAAATTCGATATACGGAACAATTAAGAATTCTTGGCTGCATGTAGCAATTAGACTAGGAGCAAGGACGTATGATCTTGGTCGTCTCTCTATATTCAGAAAGTATCCGAGGAGATCAAGGTCATCTCGTTTATGCTGTGGCGTTCTTGAGATGTCGAAGAACTGGCCATTGACTGCCTCGATACCCGGAAACATAGCCTTGGGCTAAGGGATATGAACGGGGCCCCTCATATCGTTTTGAGTGGAATGCAGTTTGGAGTCTCGGGAATCGCATCAATGAAGAGAACATCGATACCGCTCAGTATTTTCTTAGCATTTGTGAGTCATCTTTGTCTCCCTGTTTAATATTCCCGGTAACGTTATTTCCTCTTCGGGTCTATTGTTACTTCTTCCGCAATTGAGGTTTCGCCAGTCTCGAATTTGATATTTCAGGTGCTAGATTTCGTGAATGTTTATGTGCTGAGCTTCAGGGGTGAACCGCCGTCCAACGGTGCGCAACATGTGACGATTGACGGCTTCGTGAATGATGGGTACGAATATATCGTACATTTGGAACTTCCCAAGAGTTAACAAGTTGCAAATTGAAGAGCTTATAGGAATGACCCACGACTCAAGATTGTCGGAGCGGGCTATTAAGGTCTGCCAGCTGATTCTGGTCTGGGTTCATGGCGGTCCAGCGAGTCCTGATCGTGAGTGCAAACGTTGCAAGCTTGATTAACTTCTTTTGCTCTAGGGAGCAGTGAAACAGTGAGTTTAATACCACTGCGCCATGAGTGTTCATAATTGCTAGCATACTCTCCTGAACCGTGAGGGCTGGGTACTGGATTTGCAACCACCTGTCCTGGAATTGGCGCATGGTCGCCGATCGATACAAATCCATGACGCCGTAAATTTTTCTGTTGAGATGCATGAATTTCTCGGCTCCCTTGGCAAAGGCTCGAAGGGTGCCCGGATATCTGATTTTACATCTATGTTGGCTCTTGTGCATGCTTGATACTCTTTAGAGGGAATCCGACCTGCCTTTCTGGCAAAGTATGCATTCAAGACAGCCTTGGAAGATCCCAAGGACTATTCGAAGGGAGAAAATCCCGTTCCAGCTATTGCTAGAGAAGATTGCAGGTCGGGGTCACTTGGTATGAAGAAATGAGTTTGCTGGTTAAAAAAGACGCACTGTGTTGCAGTTCGAGTAGAAGGATCTACTATCCAATACAGAGAAGAAGGGGGCGGTGGAAGACTAAGAAATAGAAAAAAAGGCTCTCTAAGTCATGAAGGGGAAGAGCTGTGATGACATGGGTAACTTTCTCCCTGCGTCTTTGCATACTAGGTACTTTCATTTAGATAAAGTTGTTCACCCTGATGAGGGCCTCGTTTCCACCCCGGTAGTAATTCCTACATCATTAGGCTTCCATAGCTAAGATAACGAACGACTAGTCGTCGATGGTGGACTGGATATCTTGCCGAGCCTCACCCCTGAACTGAACCTGAGTCGAGACAGGAGGGGCTGTGATGGAGCGAGAGGCATATCTCAGTGTCATCGGCGCCACCGGCTGGTCTTCATCCATGGTGTATGGAAGCATGAATCACGAGAGAACTTCTTCTCGCGCGCCACGATGATGGTTTGATTGGACTGCAGATGCTGGTGAATGGTGGAGGAGTCGTGAGGCGATGATTGGCGGCTCTGTTCCCCAGATCGCCGCGCGTTGCTCAGCCATTCCCGGCGCCGTTCATCTTGGCGGTCACGCACCCGCCATTCCGCAGCAGGGGATGCCACAGGCCAGGGACGTTTCAGGTTGAACTTTGGCCTTGATTGTACTGGATCTTCAGTCCAGCGTCATCAGCAACGTCGCTCTTCATCTCTCCTGTCGCTCGCTTTTCGTCGTTCCTTTGCTCCTCCGCTTCTCCACGAGACATGCGGCGCACACCTCCCTGTGCCTCTTTGTCGCAGATTGTTGATCTATCTTTATCCCTCACGCCAGCCTCGCACCCCCAACCACCACCAACAGAGCCGCCCATTGACACAGCCTCCCGTTTTTGCGCCTTCACCTCTGCCTTTAACTGACGGCTGTTTCCACGCGATTCACACTCGCTATACGTCTTGTACCGTGAAGATGCCGTCTCTGCTAGCGACCCGCGACCCCGTGGGCGATGTCAAAGACACGTTCTCGTCGTGGGACAAGTGCATGGCAAAGACCTATTGCAAGTATGCGCTCTAATGAAGTCTATGTTAGAATTGCCACTCACGCTTCGACAGGTGGCCAGTCATAGTCGGCATAGTGGTCGGCTCCCTCATTATCCTCTCCATTGTCTTCTGCGTTGCTCGATGTATCTGCTGCGGCGCCGAATGCGCGTGCTGCTGCCTCAGGTGCTGTTCTTGCTGCACGCCTTCAAGTCGAAGGTCAGGACACAAACGAATGAACAGCGCAGCCCCTCCAGCATACCCTCCATCGTATCCCGCAGCCCCGCCCTCTGACACCCGGCCCGTCAACCAGCAGTATCGCTCACACGCTGCTCCCTCCTTCGCTCCTGCCCCTCCCCCTCCCCCTCTCCCTGCCCCTGCCCCTGCCCCTGCCCCTGCCTCTGCCCCTCTACACAAGGTCGCGCCCGAGCCTGAAAGACCCCAATACGCTAGGTTCGATAGCTCAAAGCCGGTCAACGAGGATGCGCTACCAGCTATGCCGAGCTGGAATGAAGCGAGAAGCGTGCATGTGGAGGAAACCGTCATGCCAGAGAAAAAAGGGGACATGGAGATGGACAGGCTAAATCAAAACGGAAGCGTCATAGATTCCACCGTGACAGCCGCAGCAGCTGTTGGAGGGCCGAGGAGGTCTCCGGCCAGGTCGCCTGTGCAGCGCTCGCCGACTCAGGATAGCTACGGATTTCCGCCCGGCTACCAGGCCAATTCACTAGCGGGCGGCCCTCCACACCGCAGCCCTCAGAGTAGCCCACTCCCGTACGGGAGGCAATACGGCGAGCACCAGGATAACTATCGCGGCGGGTCTCCCGCCCAGTCCTTGTCACCAGTCTATGTGGCTGGCGGAGGATATGCCCAAAACCAGTCGTATGGCCATCGCTCTCCAAACCAAAACAACAATCAACCATACGACAGGCCAAATGCAAGACCTAGCCCGCCAAATAATGGGGGTGGGGTTGGTCAGGGATACGGATACTCTGTGAACTCAAGGGAGATCGTTGAAATGCCCAGCCCTGGTCTGCATCGGAACGATACCTTTGGCCTCCCTCCTTCCGCTAAATCCAATTCACCCGGCTATGCGCTTGCGTCAACAAGATCCGAGCCACCAGCTGCGTATCCCGGCCAGCAAACCTATGAAGCCGCAGAACCCTCCTATCCAGGCCAGCAATCATATCAAGCCTACCAGCCCGCATCAGAGCCGCAATATTCAGGCTTGGCAAGGAAACCCGTCGATGGATCTTGGAAAGAAGTGTAGTTGGATGGATCCTTATCATCCGCCTTCTCGTTCATATTTACACCGCCCTTTTTAGCGCTTGAGCGGAAAATATTTTTCTTGTTGTTCTATAGTGTATATCTATGCATAGCGTTGGCGTTTAGGGATTTACAGACCTGGGAACTCCTTCCTGTGTTTAACGCTTTTCTTTCTATCCACAATTTCCTTGCTTTGATGTAATCCTGTATGTTCCTCTTCGTCACTTATACGAATCAGCTTGCGCACGGAGCTGGTTCTCGCGGCATCGATTGTGCTAATATTTTTCTTCGATGCCTGTCCTACAATATGGGCAATTTCCCTGTGTTGGCTTTGCATCCCTGAACCATAGCAGCCACCATGCTTATCGACAAGCCTCTCACTAGGCGCCCTGCGATGCAACGCATAATATACTTAATAGTTAAATTTGCACTTTTCTTTTCTCGCCATCATCCTCTCCGTCCCACTCTATCAATGCTAGAGTGACTCTGAAAATGATGCAACTCGCACTGAGGTTGGCGTAGTAATAAGGGAAGTTGAGAATGTTGTGTTGAAATTGGTGTTACGTGTTAGTCAGATATTTTTTTTTCATAACAATGAATATATTCAGACAACAAAACACTAGATGATCGGTGAAATTTGTTATCTCTTGCTTGATTGGGAAGGTTCAATTGATTGACTGGCAGGTTGGTAAGGTTCTCTACCGAATCATCCCTGCCTCCTTAAACCCCTCAAAAGCCTCAAACCACCCATCTTCTGGCTTCCTCTCCTCCTTAAATCCCGCTTCCCTTAGCCTCTTCAAACTAAGCTGTCGGTCGAACGACAGCCAATATCCATAGCTATCCAGTTGCTGCGAGTGCCAGATATCCACACCTTTCACACCCGCAGCTTTTAGCTTCCCCTGGTGCTCCCGAACGAACTCTCCCGGTTTCTGGTCGCTCGCACTCGCCAGTACTGGTGGTGGAACCCCTTTCAATCCAAACCACCGAGCAATCTGCGGCCACCGCTCTCTCATGGTACCAGGCGTCCCGCTATCTGCAACATTATAAACCCTTTCTCTAAACTCCTCCGGATGCAGATACGCATAGATTCCCACTCTCGCCAGCGTCCTAGCGCTCGTTTCCGTGTACTTAGAGTCATACCCTTCTCTTGTACCTGGATACGGGATTTCGGCACCATTGCCGTAAACAAGTTTCCAGGTAAATAGGTACACGGCCCAGTGACCAGCGAGAGAATACCCGCTTCCGTTTGGAGTGAAGCCGGTGATAGCGTCCGGGCATAGCTCACACCATGTCCAGTTCTGGCCGTCGCTTTCTTGAGTGAGAAGGGCGCGGTAGTGCGGATATGATACTGTCTGCGCGTAATCTGAGGGGAGGGTGTCGGCCATGGATTCTACGAGAGGCGCGATGAAGATGCCACCAGAACGGTAGATGCCATAACCCTGATGGATGAAAGTCAACTCCAATGAAAAATGAGGAGAGCAATAGGGGGTTGCCGGCTCACTCTTGTTCCGCCAGGGTACACAAAGAATTTGAAATTCAAAGACAGCTTTTTTACAGCACGAACGACTCTCCGCATCATGCCGACATTTACATCGACTTCTTTCAGCTCATCGTCCTCCTGCTTAAACGCTACATCCACCCATCAGCATCAATCTTTAACCAAACATCATAACCCGCTTTCTGGTACTAGACTTACCGCAGTAAAACACACAACTAACCCCCTCAACATCCTTCACCCTCTCCCTCAAAACCTCCTCAAACTCCTCACCTGCACCCAATAAATCCACTCCCCACACCAGCTCCAATTCCGGTCGTCCAGGTCCTGGCTCTGGCCAAAACGAATCCCCGAGTTTTAGGGGACGATTCACAAGAGCTGTGATTTTTGAAAATGGGGACGATGGGGGGTATGGTTGGAGGAGCTGGTTTACGACAGACCAGCCGATAAGGCCAGATGCGCCGATAATGAGGGCATGGCTGTTGTTGAGGTTGGGGTTTGAAGACATTGTGTATCTAGTAAAAATTTAACATAGTAATTCAGAGACATGAAGGTCGTTGAGTATAGTGTTTCGCTTTATATAGGGCTGCGTTGAAAGGATCTGACTAAATATGAGTCGAAATGATGGAATTGCCCCGTGGTGGAAGTTGCGTGGCTAGTGCGGGGAATGTGTCAACATCAATATCGACATCTCGATTTCACAATGCTTCCACTAGCAATGATCTCGACCTGCTTCTGAGGTGTTGTCATGTCGTTGGCACTGTGCCCGAATATATATCTACTAAATATGTGGAGTTTGGAGCAACCTCTTCATTAATGTGCAGAGTTAAAGCCCGGACCTCTGCGATCTAATCAGGAAAATATCACTGACGCAGCTGAAGTTCACGTGAGTTGAAGTCGTTGCTGCATGATTAGCTTGGCTCAGGATCAGTGTGCGACTTGATCCTGTCTTTAGCTAGATAGTAGCGCGTGAAGGCTGTAATTCACGTTTTCACATTTCCCCACCCGCCGTTGTCCCGCTTCGTCCGCCCCATGTTATTCAATCCCTTCTTCATCACTACTGTCACGGACCGTCATAAGAGTTGAGGCGGCAGGGCGTCGGAACAATTCAAGATGCTCTAGGTATCGGCTAGTATATTAAACGACTCCGCCAACAGCAAATTTCCCATGCACTCAAAATCAACTCTGACTTTCCAAGTTCACATCCTGGGAGCACGCTTATCACGATATTGCCACAGCATTCAACACTGCATTCAGGTCACTTTACTCCCGAATAGCTCCCAGGTCCAAAGCCGATAGCCACGGTAGACCCCACATCTTCGCCGCCTATAAATCTCCTCCAAAGTTGATCTCGAAGGTCTAGCGCGCGATTCCCCCCAAACCCCTCACCCCTCACCCTCGTTCCCATAGCCTGCCTAGCTACTAGCCAAGATCCGCTGCATGATCTAATCTCATGCCCTATTCTCCAAACTAAACCCTACAAAGCAACGTATCTTCGACCTCCAGGATCACCACAAGGACCCCAGCCCACATCCACCCCATTCTCTAACCTCAAAGACCGAATCAATTCCCAGGGCCTTCTAATCGACCAATATATCCCCGTGCGCCTGAACAAACCCCCACTCCCCCTGATTGCTCCTCACTCTCACCCTCAGAGTCACTGTAACGTTGACGATTTCACCAATGCACTGATCTACACCATTCTCAAATTAAACCTCACCTTCTCTCCCAGAAAGCGCTTTTCTCAAAATTCAAAGTTTGGATATGTACTTCCAAGGGGTTAGTTATAAGGAGCAATAATAAGGATGATTACTACGAAGAAGATTTGTGGTTTCTTAGCGGAGAGGGATAGAAACGAATGCAAGGCTAAGGGACGTTATCTGAATTTCAGGATTTAGACGTAGGGCATATATGGTGATTGGGACAAGGATTGATAGAATGTTCTTTGAGGGGGTTACGGTGGGCTAGTGGGATGGAATGGATTGAAATTTATGGAAGAGGACTCTTACCGCAACTAATTTTGAGGGTAGAGAATAGCCTTGGTTGTACGCACATAGAACTTAAAGGAGTATTTGAAACGTATTCTGGAAATAGGGTGTAATGATAAAACCTCTAAATCATGTACTTAGCAATTACCACATTGTCAATCCCCTGAAATCGGAACGTCCACTCCTGTAATGTGTAGGATAGTTTATAAGGGTGCCACGACTTCTTTGTAGCACTACTAAAAGGCACTCTTCCATCTAGCTGCTTGCCATGTTTAAGTGGAGACGTATACGTAACTATGGTTGATGTGATTTGCATCTATCATGGTCTTCTTAAATTCTTAGCTACAAGTAGCAAGTTACAGAGACTATATTATGCGATGACGCAATGAATATTGCAGAAACACGGTACAAAGCTTCCACCGTAGCCTTTATAGGCTTTCAGTATGAGGGACTTGGCTCAGGCTCCTTGCTTAGATTGTGTGGGTAGAGTAGACAGAACATCTTTGTTGCCGAGCTCTACTTGCTTGGGTCCAATGGCCAAAACCCAAGAGACTCGGACAATGATTTGAATGGCGGCATTGTGGAAGAGGAGAGGAGACCTGGTGTTGGACAGCAAGATAGTATGACTGGATATAGGAATGAATGGAAGATATGGAATCTAACAAAAGCGTCTCAACTAATGTGAGGGAAATACTGACTCCAATTCGGAGTCTGGAGAACCGAATCCGGTAAATGGAAAAGATTGGTGAAGCACTCAACGACCAAGTATCCCCGGGAAAGGAAATAAAGCGGGAAATAACCTCCGATATATGCGCCGAGCCAGATAAGGTAGATCCAAGCGGCAGTCTCATCCACTATCTTGTACCAGCGCCCATTATCCACACTCTTATCCCGCCACCAGTGCCATGCTATCCGTTGATCTCTGTGCCTGCGCTGCTTGGCTAAAAGTATTTGCAGCGACATGTAAAGCATACGAGGTAAATAGACAGGCCCGTATCCGGCAACAGCGATACTTGACAGGCGCCAAAGCACCGACTCCGTTCTGCTCGGGAAGTGGGCATTCCAAGCGAGGAGGTGCATTCCGCCGTATATGGCGCAAGCAGCGGTCATTCCAAAGTATAGAAGCCAGTCCTTACTTTTGATGCCAAGCACGATGAATCCGGGAGCATGGTTGCTTTTTCGAAGTGACACCAAGTCGCATTCGAGCCAGTCCTCGGCAAACATGGGTAGCTTCACAAAGCGTTCGCTGTAATTGTTGAGAGTATACCAGCCATGTCTCTCGATTGCCTGTGAAGCCAGTCTCCATCGCGTAACATCTCTCGGTCGTAAAAGTAGGTACGGACGATCTTGATGCTTGATGCCAAAGTTTTCTGGGGCAAGCCTTTTCCTCATATGAAGCTTGAATCCGTACAACATCTCTCCCTCCCAGATCTTGAAAAAACCATATAGTAGTGGCTGAGGAGCGTGGTTGTTGATTGAACTCGTTAGAAGTCAGCTTCTGCCCGATCGATTTTAGGTGACGTGGAACCATTTGTGGAGACCATCTCACCTTTTCGCAAAATCACGGTTATATTCTGTTGTGATGCTTTGAGCTTCCCATCCTGCATTATGCTCTCCGGTTTCTTCTTGCGGGTTTAATTTTGGCCTCGCACTCTGTTCGACTTCTTGATTGCCTACCCCTGAGTTCTCTCCTCCTGTGTGGCCACCTACTCTTGCATCAGATTCTAATCTCCAATACTCTCCAGACACACGGCTTTCTTGAGGTTTAGCATTCTCTCCTCCCATATAATCCTTCTCTAAAGGTTTATTTGACCGCAACCTTGAATCTACTTCACTTGTATGGTGACCTTCATGACGTACAGCTTGGCTCACTCCTGCTTCCCTTCCTCTATCCTCCTCTTGTCCCATCGGTTCCTTTATGTTAAGAATTGACTTACTTAGTTCACAGTATCGATCAGCAATAGGAGCAAGATCTGTAGGCGGTACCTTGGCAAAAGAAAACGGCTCAGGGCATCTGAAGGGGAAATCACTAGGGGAAAACCTAAACAGGTTGAACTTCTCCTGTCCTTCTAGTCTAGAAGCCATGCACATAAAGGCATAAAGCTCTTCCATTTCCGTGCCGATTACTGAAATGAGGGACGGTTCGGAGACATCCAACGGCTTGTGCCACCAGAGGAACGCGATGAGAAGAGCACAAACAGAGTGACCAAATGTGTTCAACTCCAGCAAGCTGATAGAAAGGCCAAAGGACATTCTGGTGATACATTGTACGCAGAACCATAGTGCCTGGAGGCAGACCAAGGCTTTCGTTAGTCCATTCGCTTTGCTTTTATCTTCTATCTGTTCGATCGACAGATCAGGGATTGCGTTCGGCTGATACTCCGCCAACAATATTAGGCCGGGTTCCGTGATTGTTAAACGTTCGAAGTGCGAGTCCACTGTCTCATGCACGGAAGATACATTTGCGCTATCATTTCTCTGTGCAAAGTGCATGTCCGCTAGGAGGGCCTTTAGATATTTGGACACGGATGGTAAGAAACGGGGTTTCGGGATTTGCGGAGCATCGAGATCGTCATTTGCTGGGGCAGAACTGGGTGGGGAAGAGACGGGGCTGTTGTCGATATGAGCTCGTGGGTTGGTGGTCTGAACTGAAATGGCGGGCCTTTCTTGTCCACGTGTATCCGCGATCGTGTCGCTCCGCTCAGCTAAGAGAGGTCCGGCGGTTTCTGAGCCCGGGACGCTCGGTGTCACAGGATTACGAGTATAGAAACCATGAGCTGCGGTCTCTTCATCTTTGATACGCTGGGAGACTCGAGGACCTGGTGCAAAATGGTGAGCGTATCTGGTTAGGTCAAACGCGAACCCTCCCATTTGGGCGTAGTGGCTGTGGACATGAGTCCACTCATACTTCCGGGGCCTGTGCCCTTTCGACCATGCTTGCCTTCTACGCAGCTCACTCATCCGCTTCAGTATTTGGTCATCCTCCTGTTTTCATTTTGTCAGCAATAGCGCATGGTTGTTGAATTCAAAGCGAGCATCCCGCGAACCATACCTTAGATTCTGGTTGCGCTCTACGCATGAAGTGAAATTTCCTCATAAGGGTTTTCATGCGCGGGAAGGAGGGAAGACTTTCCAGGAGTCTTTGGCTATATGTACTTATGAAGGAAAGAATACGGGCATACGTCCGGATGTATGGAGTTTCGTTGAGCTTTTGTCGCATATCTCTCGTTAGAACCAAAGCAAATGTTCGTTGACGCCATGCGGTGTATGCAACCTAAGTTGTTAGCGTGTCAATTCCTTGCAAGGCTAGAACAGGAAGAGGCGAAGGACTTAGGTACAGGACTTACAATCTCGGGCGCGAAAAGCCCAATAAGCAGCCAATAGAACCTTCGAAACCACGGCCTCCAGCGACTTTCGCCATATCTAGGTACATTGAGATGTACAGCAGCCCATACACAAAGACTAATAGTAACCAGACATGAGGAAAGAATGCTCCATGTACCGCGTGTATGGGGTTCAGGCACCCATCCAGTTGCAAGTGTATCGTTCAGGTTGAAGGGGAGGTACATATTCAAAGGATTCGGTGAGATTAGGTCTGTAATGAGGAGCCAGGGACGCAATCACTGCGAGATGTAATGGCCGCAACAACTGGAAGAAGAGCCGAATAATGGGAAGCAGCCCATTCTCCTAGAAGAGAATAACCTGACCTTGTATGTGCGAAAAGTTGCATGAATGAATGACCTGTCAGGGCATTCATCCTGAACAGTTGGACTCGAACGAGCAGCCACACTACAGGTGTGGAGGCGCCACAAGTTCTAGTAGACACCTGAGCTGGGTATTGTACTTGTACTCCATGTCTTGCAGTCCGAGAATAGGAGAGAACCCTGGATCTCATGATTTTGGGGCTGGTGGTGAGCTGCGCCATGATCGCTTATGCTAGTCGAAAAGGTCGGATCTAGTTAGTCAACATGATATCACCTGAGAACGCCTTCTGCTTGTGAGCGATATCCATAGCCCAAACGCCCAAGTTGTGTGGTTTGATCAGAGTACTTTCCTAGATTGGTAATACGCATTTGCCTCCACCACTTGTATACTTTCCACGATTGGTAAGAGAATCCGCCTTCCCGTCACCGGACATTTGGTCCGATGGACTCAGATGATTTTACACTCTGCTGTTGGACCATTAGTTTCGGCCACAAATGCTCTAGTACTAGGCATACGAGTTCATGTGAGGAATTGTTCGACCAAGAGCACGCTCAGAGCAGACTCTGGAAGAGAAGGCAGTGGATGGTTTTCATTCCAGATATGGAAAGATGGATGGTGACTTTAATTGAAGGTTAGACATCCATATGTAGGGAGAGATATTTAAGAGGGGGCATTGCCTTCTGGATAAGAAACGGGTTCGATAACATAGACTTCAGGGGTGAGCTTGGATTTATTTATTGCGAACACCTAGATGCCCCAAGGCGTTCTCGGGCTAAAATGGGACTTTTCCATTCAGTTTCAAATCTTGCACGAGAAGACACAGAAGATCAAGGCTTCACTTAGTAGGCTAATATGAAGCTCGAAATCACAGCTCTTCAGGCCGGAATCTAGGTAATTGTGACGTCAAATTTTTTACTTGGTCCTCACTTATAAGTAGGAGTTGAGGCATTTCAAGGTTTCACGCTGAGAATTCGCTCGCAGGTATGGTCGATTGAATTTAAGGTCTCATTCCAACCTACCGTCGCGGAGATCTAGATATTTTAAGACATTTCGAAAGGCGTCTCGCAGGAGCATACTGTGAACTAATTAAGCTTTTTCCACCTTTGGGCGGGGCGTATAAAGAATTCTGTTTCATATTCTCGTTGCTAGACAGGAGCTTCAACCGTACAGATTTTAATCATGTCGCTGCGGTATAGGATATTAAGCAAGAAGTAAGAGCTTGCTGTAGAGTTTCAAAATCAGATGTTGAGTGTCCTAGGGAGTACACAAATGAGAGGTGGATGCTAAGCCTTTTGAATACTCCTTTTGGGTTTCTAATATTGAAATATCTCAGTTTGCTAGTACTCTCCGCTTAGGCTGTGCGTTAAGGTTATCTGATTGGTTTAGAGATTGTTAGGTAGTAACCTCGCGCTTCCGCGGCCACCGAAAACCATTCAAGACAACGTAACTTTTGCTGATTTACCTGTGTTCACCACTGTATTAATATCTTCGTTCTTGTAATCTTATCACCTATCCAATCTCTCCATCCTTCGCTCAGCCCGTTTTCCTTCATCGCCATGATGGAGATCCCGAAGGTAGAGTTTGAAGTCACGGGACATCTCCACTACGGACTTGAGGTGTTTATCAGTCAAGATGATCTTGCCTTCTTGGTCCTTTGTTGCTTCATACTCTGCTAATGCGACAGCTGTTTGAAAAGCTGGCTCCTCTCAGTAAGGGTCACGTGAGGCGGTCATATGTATTTACGTACCGTTCCTGATTTCCCTTCCGTTCCAATTCAGAGACTTCAGCTCCTTTCCCTCGAGATATTCTTTCGCGTCAATGTTCGGCCTAATGTAATCACCCCTCTCCCGCTGGAGCTTGTCGATGAACGTCTGCCACACTTTTCGCCTGCCTTCATCGTCGAAATCCGGATACCACAGTTGGACATGGATCCGAGAGATGAATGCATCGTCAAAAGAACCAACTCTGTTTGTTGTAAGGAATAAGATACCGTCGTAGAATTCAAGAGCGCGGAGAAACCCTAGGAGCCGGATAAGTAAGATCACCTATTGCGCTGGGTGCTTAAACTCACCAGCTACAAGACTGTTACGGGTTAAATCAGCAGTTGTGCGACGCTCCATAAAAACGTCTGCCTCATCAATTAGAAGAACTGCCCCCCAGCTGCGAGCTCTTTTGAAGTGTTCCATGAGATTCCTTTCGACATCTAGTGCGCTCGTTCCAATGTCACTACTTGTCAGAACCATGAGAGGCCGGCTTGTGAAAGCGGCAATGCATTCTAGGAATAAATTAGCATCGGTAGTTTCTGATGCTCCCATTAATACTCACCGGCAGTGCAAGTTTTGCCAACTCCAGGCATTCCATGGAGAAGGAATATCAGCCCGCTGCCCTTGCCCTTGACGAAATCCGCAGACCATGGCTCTCTATCTGACTTTTCGCCAAATTTGTTGAGCCGTATGAAGCTTTTTGCAAGTGCTTTTAGCATTGTTACACGCTTTTCGTCCATAACGAGATGGTCGATCATGTCTTCTTCGAATCTTGGCTCAGAGAAGCTCTTGACATTGAGTAATTCTGTGTGTCGTTAAAACTGACGTACTTTGAGCTAGAATTATCTCCTACCCCAGGTCCTTGTTCTGAATATGAAAGCCCATATGCTCCCAGGGAGTAACAGGTACTGATCGTCGTCCAATTTGTCCACGAGTTTAGGGGGGAGTTGCTGGTACGCTTCAAACATTGCAGTGTGCTTTTCGAGGCTGGCATCCCTTCTCTGGTTACAAACAGAGCAGGTACAGTCGGAGATCCAAGTACGATTGTCTGCAGAACTGCCCATAAACCGGGGCCTCATGGCCGGCATTGCTTCATAGTAAGCATCCATGTCCACCATCACCAGTCCGTCAACCTAGCACAGAGAATAGATCAGTCGAACTAATCAAACCGTGTTAAATATCGATCCTCTCACCTCATTATGTGGAAATGTCTCTGTCTTCCCCTTATAATATCGGCATTGTTTGCGTAGAAGACTCCAGTATAGCTTCCCTTGCTCAATAAGCATTTCAACCTCTTTCTCTCGCGGGGATGCTCTCATATCAACCGGTGTCACTAGGCTCAGACGCTCACCATCGTACTTTGAGAGAGAGGCGATTCGTAGACGACGATCAACAAGAGAACCGTTATAATCGAGGGTCCAATAATGGAATGTCCACTCCCTAGGTGGAGTTTCAAAGCTGCCCCCGACAACAGAGTGCATGATTCCCGCGCAGGTTTCTGCGTTATCCGCCCAAGGACCCTGGAATGCGACCCCAGGTTTGAGTGGTACCCATAGCATGTCAAATGTCCCATATCCTCTCCGGTTCCGGGCTCTCTCCTCTTCAACTGCAGGCATTATGTGCTCACCGAGGAACGCTTTGAGTATGCCGAGGTGCTCATAGGCATCCTTTTCTTTGTAACAGACTTCCTTCGGTGAATCTAGCCGGAGCCTCTCCCTATATTCCATCAACTCATCGTAGTGGTGCACCAAAATTGCATAAGGTGCCGCAATTTTGATAACATCACTCGACAGGTCTTGGCTAGGGTAGTACTGAACTACTGAACGAAGAGCGTGAATGATTGCACCCGAAAGGATACTCATGCTGACCGAAGAGACGTTTGCAGCAGGAGGAAGTCTGAAGTTAGCCTCATCCACAGTCGACTTTTGAGCAGTCTTGATCGTGGTGACGATCTCAAACACTGTTTGTTCGGCGCTCGAAGTCTCGTCCTCATAATTCAGGCCTTTTGTCTCATATCGGTGGATTACGCTACCCGTTGAAATTTCGACATATTCGACACGGAACTTGATACGACTCTGTACATTACCCTTCTGTGTATCCCTAAAATTTGCTTTGATTGCTTCTGGTTTTTCCACTTGGGCCGGTACTGTCTGGATCGTTTCGTTCGCCATGATCTCAACAGCCATTGTGGTGGAAAATAGTCAATAATCGCAAAGTGCGTGATAAGGCTAGAGAAGAGATGGATCAGCTGAAGGTTCCTTATCGAAGGCTAGCAACAAAAGATAAAGGACTTAGCACTTTCAGCCTCCTGTTGCCGCTCGAGGCTGCGTCCGGAAAGTGCTTCGCCCCCAACACAGCTGATGATCAGTCAGCCAGGAAGATCCTTTGATTCGTTTTTCTGTTACACTGCATGAATTGTGGAGGGGTTTCTCCAATGAGGGGTGTACCCCCAAACAGCTTGCTGCAAGTTGCTTAACTCAGGTGTCTGCCTGGCGCTTACAAAATAGAAGATATCCGTGAATGACTGCTCCTTCAGCCTTATCCACCGGGTTCCCAACCTGCTTAAAAAGTTTTCTTCATCCTACAAAATTCCTACTGGGACGGATCAGAAATGGAAGACATCGAAGGGCCACGCAAAGTAGTTCGGATATACAGCTTCCACGCCCAAGAACGCCTCCCTCCAACAAGCGATGCACATACCCTAGGACGTATACTAAGTACGGAGGAGCCTTCATTAGAGGATATAATCGAGCCATGGCGCAGGTTTTTCGAACCCTATTCGGAGAGGTATGTGATAAGTGCCCATGGACATACCGGTAATGCACTGAAAGAAAGGAAGTGACCCAATCACCGCCGTCCTCTCTGTGGAAGCGGAGAAACTTCGACAACAATGGATTGAATTCCAACGGGGGAATTCAAAAGAAGATCGAGTTGACGTGGGGGCCTCTGAACCTACCATGCAAGGCGTGATTTGCATGGTGGCTGACGCAGGGAAGGTATGGCAAGCTAAAAAAGACAAGGGCAAAAGGGGTAAAGCTATAACGTATTTTCATCGCCTCTGTGGCGCACTTGATAGACATAGCAATATGCTTGAGACTATCCCGAAAGGAAACGAATATGTTTCCATCTTTGCCGGCACGATTACGACTCTTATCAAGGTGAACCATCACAATAGGAGACGCTAATCACGGCTGATTCTGATTAGGCAAGTGTAAATCACGAAAATATTGCTGAGGAGCTTTCCCAAGCCCTATGGATGATCAGTGAACACTCCGCGGACTGCGAGGTTGAAATGGAGCTCTTCAGAACAGAAGCGATGCAACGCGCCGTGGCGGACCTCTACGCCCACATCTTTCTCTTTCTTACAGACACCCTGAGTTGGTACATGAAAAAAAGAAGAAAAAGAATGATGGACTCTTTTAATGAGAGGTTCCTTCAAGAATTCGAGTGCGAGATTGATAACATCAAGCGCAAGTCCGAGATAATCAAAAGAAAAGCTGCTCAGCATCTCATGGCGGAGCAGCGAGTAACAAGACTGACAGTTGAGGAGACCAGGAAAGATTTGAGATTAGGACTAGAAGGGGTAATGAGAACGCACGCTGAGACAATGTATTATGCTCAACATGTCGCCGACCAGATCGAGAGGCAGAGGGTTGAGCAACAGGAGGTAAAAAACAATGTTGCTCAGCTATATCGTAACATCGTAAAGTTCCTCACAGACTCTGCTCAGTCCGAAAAAGGGAATGGTGAGTCAAGCTTAGCAAGCCCATGTCACACCTCGCTGATACAAGCTAGTATCTCTCGACTTGGAGAGCGAGCACATTATGAATCCCAGAGCAGTACAAGGTACAGTTTCCACAAGACAACTGAAACGCCCAGGGCGTACGGATTGACAAAACATCCAGGTGCGAATAAGTCACGAGACGACCTACATCTCAACTCAGCCTCCCTTGAAGACTTCTTTCAACGCGATCGTGTCCGGCTGGAATGCGACCTCTTCGTTCCTACCCCAGTAGATCCAGAAGCCGTCTCTTGTCTCGCGGAATGGACGAGGCAACTTTCTTCGTTTCCTATATTGTCCATCGCCTCCCGCGACTTCTCCTCGAGGGATGAACTCGAAAACCCGATGACCATACTCGCGGCCAAATTCATCGACTTCGCTGCAGCGTCTAATATCCCTCTCGTTTCCTACTTCTGCGAACTGAAACGCGGAGAAAGGCTACAAATGGGCAACACACTGGAGATGCAAGGGTTGATGTCGCTATTTTATGGAATTCTACGCCAGATGATTGAGCTGGCACCTCCAGAATTCAAGAGTTCCAAGGATTTTTCTAAGGAGCGGTTTGAAAAACTTGACGGAAGTGTACACTCCTGGGATCATCTCACTAGTGTATTCCGAGATGTCCAGGATATACTCCCCGGAAAACTGTTCTGCGTGATCGATGGGCTGCAGTGGTTAGACGACGCGAGCACTTCTTCCTTCCTAGCCCAATTTGTAGAGATGCTACGTCGTGACAATTTTAAGGTCCTGATTACCACGACTGGACAATCGCAGTGCTTATTAGACTGCCTAACGCGGGAAGAATTGTTGATCTTAGAGAGACCCAGAGGAGAAAAGGCGGGTTCGTTATGGAAGTTCGAGGAAGGTGTGCTAGAGTTGTAGTTGATATTGCGCAAAGGGTTGTGATACTTCGGAACCTTGGACGTTTGGGATACAGTTAGTATGAATGAAAATTATGAAATCCCCACGAACGACTTCCCCGTGAGACCATGAGCAATAATCACAACCTCCATCACCCAATAGTTTGCTAGGATTAGATGTACTCTTCCACCTTAGTATTGTGTATTTGTATCCCTCACTCCCTAACTCCCTGGGTCGGAAAGACGCTCGACTTCTGGGGAACTTCTCATAGGGGATTATTCGTAGGCTCCGAGATTGGAACCACCTGCATTTAGTATTCCAAGTTCGTCCGCCTTCAGTTGCATTTCTCTCATCTGGGAAGGTGACCTTATCTCAATCTCCATATTCTAAGCCAGAAAGCGCTAGTGGCGAAATACCTGCGCTTCAAACAAAAAAGTCAATACATCATTGGAGAGCAGGAAGGGAGAGCATAACCTCAGTGGAAGCTTCTCGTTTGGCACTGATCTAGCTACCTTCATAGCTACGAAGTACGAAGCCAGAAGTCTATATACAGAATTGGGAATAAAGTTCTTGATAATCCCCTAGAGTCTCTGAGGACCTCCCTGGATTCCGAAGTCACAAGACCGCATGTATCCGAACTCTAGAAAGAGAGCAATAACAGAGACTCTCTGTTTAGTCTCTAGTCTTCACTCAAGAAAAGACTAGAAACCAACTTATAATTCGACGCACTCCCAACAATCTCACAACGCGCTTCGTAAATATCTATGTTTAGACTTCTCAACAAGCAAGTTAAGTTCATTGTCAGCGAGAAACGTTATGCCTATTTAGGACGCGCAGCCCTATACAGGAAGATCATTAACCCAATTAGGTAGTTGATCAAGGCAAGTTGGACTTTGGAAACGCAAACTTTTCTTCTTGACAAGTCTGACTGATGTCCCCTTCAATGAGGACAAGGGCCAGAAGAGAAGCCGAGAGATAAAATATTGCAAGCAATTATAAGAAGCCTCAGAGGAAAATGCAAAGAACGTGAAACGAGTTGATCAGATCGTGTGCTTTAGGCTCGGTATAGTAGGAGAAGAAGGTGTTGTCTAGCACCCCAAGGCTTTGTTATATCCAGCATCTCACAGCGTGTTACATCCGCGAAAAACAAGTAAAGTACGGCACCGAAGGATCTCTGCTCGGGTCTTTGCGCGATATCGAAGTCTTTGCCCAAGGCCACTTACTGCGAAAGTGTAACGCTATCCTAAGACACGGGGGCATTAGGCCAATCAATCATCTAGGCGGTTTCCGAATGATCAACAAGAACCAATCTGTTCTCTCGGTTTCATTAGACTTTCCTGTTCACTAGATCGTTATAGACATTAATTACAGGTATAAGGGTCCAGAGGGAATATTGTGCGACGGAATCGAGAACAACGATATGCTTAGTCCAGAACAACCAAGCGCATGTTCCTCAAGACTAGGATTGTTGGAGTTCAAGGAGAAATGCATCGTATTAGGTTTCAGTAGTATGGGGGGTATGGGGGGTCCGAAATAGAAGGAAGAGCTGAAAGAAGCATGGAAGGCTCATAAGAAGCAGTGGGGCGCGGAAGAGCAAACCAAGCAAACCAAGTCTAGGAATTTGGACATGTGTATGAAGAAAAAGGTATGAGGGCCTTGAGCGGAGGCTCTCTCCCTCGAACCTCTCTCCCACATCTCATCATGAGCAGACCATTCTTTTGTTCTAGGAGCTCCGTCAATGCCTGCTCACCTATTTGCCAGGTGCTGTTCTGAATTTCTATTTCTTATTATTTGATTACCTATATTTGTGGGCTCGATCTCTTTCTTCTACTTTGTATCTTTCGTTCGTCATTTAGGTAGGTTGTTTTAAGGCGCGAGACGTGTCCATACTTACGGGCATTATTAAATCGAGAAGCATACAAAGGCTGTCCCATATATCTGTTTTCTGCACACACCAATATACAGTCAATTCAACTCTTACAACTACGTAATTACTCAATCCTCAACCCCCTCACCACCTTCCCGAATTCTATCAACTCCTCCACCACTACATCCGGACCCTCATAAAATAAGAAATGTCCACCCTCATTCACATCCCTCCACCTCACAATCCTACGATGACTCTTCTCCAGTACTTCTCGTGGCGGGGCCGGAAATACCGGATCCGGGGACGCAATAAATCCCGTCGGAACCTCGACTTTCTTGCCTTCAGGCAATGTCCACTGATTGTCCTTCCAATCCGCAGCATAGATCCAGGTTGCCGTATTGAACGTGTTGGTGACGAGGTATATCATGACTTCGTCTATCAATATTTTCACGTCAAACACTTCAGTCAAACTCTTCCCTCGCAGATCCGCCCATACGTGGAATGCTTCGAGGATCCAGGCTGCGACACCAACGGGGGAGTCCATCATTGCATAAGCTAGTTTCAAGGGCCGAATGCTTTGAATGAGGTTGTACGCTTTCTCCGTCTGCCAAATCCCGTGTTCAAGTTTCGCGAATGAAATTTCAGCGTCCGTTGCATCCTTGACATATTCTCCGCTGTGGGCCGCACCGCCGTAATGACGCACACTGCTATTACCACCGATGTGCACGCCAATGCAAGAATTGGGGTAGTGGAAGCCGAGGAGATCGGATGTGTAGGAGCCCCAGTCGCCACCGTGGGCTATGTATGTTTTATACCCGAGGACGGAGGTCATGAGATCGTTCATGATGCCAGCAACTTGTCGTGGGGAAAGTGGCTCCTTGATTGAAGAGAATGCGAAGCCGGGGAAGCTTGGGATTATGACAGTGAACGCGTCTTCCTCTTTTCCGCCATAGCGTTCGGGGTGTGCGAGCCGAGGGACGAGATGAGTATAGCTGATGAAGGAATATGGCCAGCCGTGGAGGAGGAGGAGAGGTTGTGGGTTTTGACCGCTGCCGCGTTCGTGGATGAAATGGATGTCCATGGTGGATACATTGGCTTTGAAATGTGGGAGGCTGTTAATAGTCTTCTCCGTCTCTCGCCAGTCGTATTTGGAGCTCCAGTAGTCGCATATGGGACGGAGTTCATTTGGTGGAGGACCGGGATTCCAGGAGGGATCGTATGTGGTGATAGTATCCCACGGGTAGTTCTTAACGCGGTTTTGGATGTCATCCAACTTCTCCTGGGGTATGGAGATATAAAATGGAGTTGGCTCGAAAGACATTTTTGGAGTTTGAGTTTGAGGGTTTAAAAGAAGTGTTGTTTGGCTCTTCAGGAAGAAAATTGACTCAAGAAGTGATGAGATTTGCAACATTCAGAACCGTGAAATATCAGGGCTCTTTTATAGACCTTTGCAAGCCTGATCAACACCACCCATCGACATCATCTTCTCCTAATTGAGTGCATACCAACTGAGCTGCCGCGATGACTCCAACCTACTGCTGAGAAACCACCCTTTTGCGAATCATGCAACAAGCGTCATAGCTCCCATTCAGGATAGGGAGACGAGTGTAGAGTTGTGGAGGGGTCGTAAATCGCACCATTTAGGGCTAACCAACTCGTTCACGCGTCTAATGTCAACTTTGCCTATCTGGGATTAGCGTTAATTAGACCATTCCTAGGTTCGATGCCAATTGAGACTACCAGTTTTGCAGGTACAGATATCTGGACTGATACTAATCCTCACTCTGGTTAGGTTTTGTATTCTATTCTCTCTTCCCTGAAGGGCCTAGATACTAGTCTGTAAGGCTCAATATGTCTCCCACTACCTCTCACGTCGACCTCCTTTTACGGGTCGATGCATTTCGGCTGTCTAAATATTCCCACCACAACAAACCCCATTTTTGAATTCTTCCATATAAGCGTAGAGAGTTGATAAATTGCAACAACTCGACATGCAACTGCTCACCCAACTAATGCCCACCTTCCTTCCTAACCCCCTCCCCTCTTCCAGTCCACTTCCCCCACCCTCATTTTGAAAACTCTAGACCACCCTACATCCCCGCACTTATAAGATCTATCTGCTTCCTAAATTCTGCTGGGAAAGTAGCAAAAAAACTACCATGTCCTAGGCTTGCAGAGATGGCCCTGCATATTAGACGTGTGCCTGTAACATAGCCCCCCACATTCACGGACCATACCAGAACTTTCCTTTTAATTGAGTTGAAATTTCTATTTTATTTTATTTTATTTCCAATTTAGAATGATTGATGGTATTCGATCGAGTCATAGTTGTTCCGGCTAGATAATTTTGGCTTCTAGATTCGCTGAGGGTCCGGAATTAGTCTTTCCTTTTAAACGGCAAAGTAGGAGGGCCTCATATAGGAAATATGTGAATACCTAGAATTCTACTTACCATTATTTCTTGTTCAAGAGAAGTTATGGACTGGAAGTAAGAGTACGCTGACGGAGAGATATAGATAGTTCAATAAAATTCCTGCCTGTTCTACGCCCCAGGGTGAATTACAAGTCCCAACACCCCAACAGCGCTTTCTATTCCCGCAGAACGCTCAACCCTAATGCCTATAGAAGATCCACTGGGATGAGATGAACGCCAAACTCTAATCAGAGCCTTACATCGTGGAAACTTGCACGGTCTTCCTCTTCGTCTTCCACAGTTGCTTGTCCAGGTTTGTTCCTGACAGGTAAACCGGCCTCAGCTGCCTTCGCGGCACTACTAGCTCCAGGCTCTATTTCCTCCTCGCTCTCATCCTCGTCCGTCTCCTCGGTGCCGGGCTTCAGGTCTTCGGTCCTGACTTTCTGCTCCTCAGCGTGTGTCTTCGGCTCCGGTGGCGTCTCTGGCTCACTCTCCTCATCCTCCACATCGTTCTTCGGTGGCGGTGGAGGGGGAGCAGCATTCTCACTATCTTGACTCCTCTCTCTCGTTGGTCTCTCGGGTGTCGGTGGTGTGACCTCCGTCCTGGGGCTCATTATCGGGCTTCGAACCTGCTGTTGCGGCTGTGGTGAAGGGTGTTGCTGGACCGTTCCAGGACCAATCTGCCTCAGTCTTGGATCCGCGTTGAGATAGTATCCTCTCACCCCCACAATCCTGCCCTCCCTCTCACATCCCTTCACCCAATCTGGCACCACGACGGGGATATTGTTCTCTACGGCTTTCTCCCAGCTCGGCCCTCGTCCCTCTGTACACACGAAATGAGTTGTATCAATCCTGACCGTATCCACAATCTTCGCGCCAATGCGCTCCACGGTCGTCTGCAGACTCTCGCGCAGCGCGGCTGGCATATGGCCAGGAGTAATGGTAATTCCAGACAAATCCGTCATCTTATGCGTTTGCACTTTAAGTTTGTCGCTGGTATACGTGCCAGCCGAAGTTCGTAAAACGAGATGAAACACATATTCCGTGTCCACAGCCAAGCCACTCAATTTCGTGCTGTGGACTTCCGTCGGCTTAGGTATCGTGCCTGCCTTGCTACCATTGCGATATAGCGTTAGGCCGCGCAGCTCGGCAGTCGCAATGTCAATTGGATCCCATTCCAGCACTACGGAGGTCTGCGTCGCGTTTCGGCAGCGGAGGATAGGCGCCGTCGGCGAGCGCTGGCCGAAGGTGCGAAAGATGGTGGATTGGAGCGAGTGGAAGGCAGAGGAGGCTTCGGATTCGGATTTGTGGTTTCGTGCGACCGTAATGTCGACAATGCTGCCTGAGGAAATATCTGGCGGAAGGAGGATGGAGGGGAATTCGATCTAAGGCATTGTAAGTGGTAGGTGAATGGCAGGGGTGTGCCTGTGTGAAGGTGGATATTGGGGAAGATAATTGGAAGGAAGGGAGGGCATACAAGGCGTTTATCATCTGTGAGTAGTACGGCGACACCGGCGTCGACTTTGCCGACGGTCAGAGAGACGAGCATTGTGTGAGGGGTGGTGATCCAGTTTCGTGTTTGAGTTGCGATGATTTCTGGAGCTGAGCTTGAAGACCAGCGTGACTAGCCGAGGTTTCGCCAATTGGCTGGGCATGAACTTCCTCTTTCGGTTATGGATGCTCTCCACAAGTTTGCATGTATTCAGCAATTCTATGACAGCAAGTACAAAGTAAATGATATATAATATCGGCCTCTCAACTCATTTATTTCGGCTTCAAGGTTTTCTTATCCTCTTAAACGAGTCTGAAAGTCTTAACACTCCTCTCCTTATCATCCAAAAGTCGCCAGCACTCCCCATCCATGAACCCATGCACATATGCCTCTCCCACTACCTGCCACGCTTCCCTAACTCCCACGCTCCTAAGCACAAGGGGGATACTACACCCAAACAAAATTGCAACCACTTCGCCCCGTTGAGCCATGCAAGGCGCCATTCCAAAATACCCATTCCTTGTAACCATAAGTCTTCGGGATTTGTGTCTTACAGTGTCCTTGAAGCGGTCTAGGAAATTGTCTGCTTCATCTGGTTTTTCAACATATGGATCTCCATCTCCGGAAGATCGAATCTGTATCGAGGGAGACGGCAGTAATGAAAACGTCGATGGCTCTGGAGATTCGAGAATGTAGGTCATAATTGACCCAAGACTCCATCCGTCGTATATAAGAAGATCTCTATTCTGCGTGAACCATGCTGAGAATAAGGGGTCGACATTTTCGCCATTCAGACACGAATAGCAAAGGACAAGGAAGTCGGAAGTAAAGTGTCGAGGCGCTCGATTTCGGAGGTACTTGTCTTCGCGGTCGAGAACGAGGGAGTGAGCAATGGCTTCAATTTGCTGAATAGGCCCTGGGCCTGTCCCGAAATTGGTGCGCTGCCTTTGCAAGCTTTGCTGAGGCGTATGACCGGCCTCCTTGCAAGCATTACTTGTGCAACGAGTTTTGCAGTTTTCAAGACCACCGAGACCGTCGATCCAGTCGAGAACTATCCCATCGCACCACATTTCTTTGAGATTGTGGGAGAACCTGACGTTCGCCCGGTTACGTAAGGTGGAGCCAGGAGCATCGTACGCAGCTTCGTAGTCCCTCGAATTTAGCGGGCGGAAGTTCCCAATGTGCTCGCTCGCACTCTGACTTGCCATCAGCGGAACAGGCGAAGACTGAACGTAGGCTCGCCAATCTGGTGCCCATGACGGCACCACTTCTACCGCATCAGTGTCAAGACTCCCGGCATATCGGTTGAAGATATGTGTGAAGCAAACGATATCTAGACTGTGATACTCATTCCAGAAAGATCGTACTAGGTTTGCGAAGACCTGTTCGACGCCGGACTTGTATTCAGGATCTCCTACCAGACGGCGGTCGTGGTCCGTTATAATGCCGAGTACGGAGTAAATGCGATCTCTTGAGTCTGTCGCACCGTGATTACCTAGGTACGCCATCGTAGCAACGAGGTTTATTCCGTTGGACTTGGTAAACCACTGGTGTATCCGCCGTCGATTCCAAGCAGCATCAAAGGCGTGTCTTGGGACTAGCTTGTGGTCATGGCTCTTACAAAGATGAATGCTGTACATCGCTAACTTGAAGTTGCAGCGACTGATGCTACTCGACCCGCAGTAAAACTTAGCCTCGCGAGGCAGAATAAACTCTTGCAATGTCCATACTCTTGTCCACCAACTTCTGCTTAGTAGCTTCCCAACAGCATCCCATTGAACAGCGAATTTCTTATCGCGGATTTGCTCACGGAGGACTTCGCTGGTTTCGAGCGCGGATTTGAGATCAGCAATCTGTTTCAAGAATTCAACAGCACCGAGACAATCACTTTCTTCTTCCCTCTCTTTCCCGAGCCAAATAATGGCTCTACTAGCTCTTCGATAAATGTCACCCATAATTTTCACTTGCGTTGCCCTTTCTTCAACATTATCAAGATTCATACAGATTGAGTCGATCCACCACCAATCCTTATCAGAGAAATCTTTGTGTTGACAGATCATGTGGAGGAAAGGAGCGAGACTCGTCAATACGAGTAGCCAGTCCGACCCGAAGGTGATGCCTGTCGAGAATGTCTTCTTACCCCATACATATGATAAAGAGTAGAAGGGGGGAGCACTCTCCAAGCGAAATTTCTTAAGCTGCCCAGTGAAATGTCCATTTTCGTCCCGAGAGAATCTTAAGAGGCGGATGGAGGTGCTGTCGACGTGATCGGCATAGGCAGGGTGTATTGGACAGTCAAGCTGGAGGTCCATAGAGAGAAATACTGATTGAGAGCCCTAACACTTGAATGATAGTATGACCCTATTTGTATTTGCTTCTGAGGTGATTCTGACAGGCCTTCTAGGTTGTGGACAGTAAGGCTGAGCTATATGCTGATGCCTGGTCTGGGCTTACCTAAAACAACCTAACCCGTTTGGGCTAGATCATAAGTATATGCTAGGGGTCACGAGAAGGAAAGCCTAAGCGTGCTTCACGTATATAATTCTTACAATGTTAATGCAATGCGATATCATGTTCCCCCGTCCCCGCCAGAATCATCTTCATCTCCTTCTCTCCATCTCTTCCGCCACCACTTCAGCTTAAACCAATCACCCAGCACATCCTGATTCGTTCGACTCCCTAAATCGCCGAAACCCCATGTACCACGCCTTCGCCTAGGCTGAGAGTTCAATACTGCGTCAGGGTCAGATTGAGAGCCATCTTCCGGATCAGGATGGTCTCCAAGAAAGGCGCCAGAGCCATGTGCAGGTCTTTTGCCCTGCGAAACACTGCTTCGTAAGCTGCCAACGCCCATTCCTTCCCACCAGGACCGTCTTCGCACTTGAGTCAGCCACGTTGAGTTCTTTCGGCGGGTAGGTAAAGTCCCTGAGCGAGGTCTGCGCTCTAGATCAGCAGAACGTCTCGCTGGTGATCTGACGTATTCACGATCATTAAGTTCATCCCAGATCTCGTTTGTCTCCTCTGAGACAGTCATGCGGCGCCTACGCGGGGGTCGGCGTGGAGAGGGACTTAGATTTGGACTAAGTCTGCCATGGGTGTCGATTGATGGGCGTTTCTTCGACTTTGGGGTTAGGCCTGGCGCTGTAGGAGCACGAGCTAGGAGGGGGGTCCTTTCGTCAATGCCGTGGCGTTTGCGCTGCTCGGCAATGGAGCCATGCGCTCCGGGTTGCTGTTCTTCTATGTCTACGGGATATTCAGGTTCTTCGTCTAGCACACCGTGGACAAGTCCCATGCCTGGCGTTAGCACGGTCGATGGCGTGGGCACGCGCCCTTTATGTTTGCCGATGACCGGCGAGGGGGGTTGTTCGACGTGTTCTTCTAATCGCCAACTCAGTGCAACTACCCCTGCGAGAAGAATTACGGTGCCAAGAGCGATTAGTCCGGCATGTAAGACTGGAAGCCTCGAGGACTGATGGAAGTAAATCAAGCCGTCTATGATGGCGATGATGTTGTAGACGCAGAAAACGAGGGGATATAAAACGCTGGTGCTGCATAGTTTGAGGCCGCGATGCATGAAGTAAAGCTGCGATAGGGCGAAGAATACAAGGCCGAGGAGGATCATCCATGACTGCCATCGATTGAACTCATTGTGGCGATCCACGATGGTACGAACTAGAAGCTCGACGGCACTCTTGGCGATGAGGAGGGAATGCGCGGAGAGGATTCCGCTCACACAGCCAAAGAACAAGCCTCGGAGAAGGCGCTGTCGCGGCGTGGGACGGTGATAGATGCGTTTGAGGACCCAATTAGCGACGATGAACAACAGCACCATAACAGCGGTTCCAAGCATCCACAGGATGAATTGACGCCTGCCAAGAAGCTCCAGCAATTGATCCAAGTTATGCGATGGTTCGGTGAGAGCTCCAAATATGCCAATTAGAACCGCACCTACAGCGACAAGCATAGTTCCGACGAGGGAGTAAGGGGTGAAGGGCTCACTCAAGATGATGGAGGCGCAGATGGAGTTGAAGACGAGACCAGACTGGAGTCAATTAGTCACCAAGCGTAGGGGAAGCAGGAGAGAGCAGCGTGAGGAGGCTACGTACTGCCTGGAGCGTGGAGAGAACTGGCAGGGGTAGTGTTGTGATCTGGATTGTACTCCCCACGATGTTCGCGACGAGAAACATGAACATGCCAAGCTATCAAGTTCAGCCAAATATCTTCAGTATAGCATGTCCGCAACCGACCTGCCATCTCCGCCGCTTGTAGGGGGGTCTCCGCTCATAGTCGTCCTCTTTCTCTTCTTCGAGGAGGTGGGATTTGCGCTGGAGGGTCAAGCCGATGCTCTGGACACTGGTCGAGACGAGCCCAACAATGACTCCGAGCTGTGCAGGTCTAGTATTAGCTCGCGTCTCTGTAAGAAGCACGATTCCAGCCTGCCCTGGGGATAGACTTACAGCGACGCTTGCGCCGGGCGACAGTTCCACCATGCTGGGCTTCTGTATGCCGTCGCCACGCAAAGTTATTGCTACCTGAAGCGTGGAAGCATGCTGTGCGGATTTGGCGCGGGTTTCGGGGGGCTCTTGTCGGGGGCGTCCAGCGCTGGGCGATGCTGTCACTGTGATGAGCAACGCTCGACGAAGGTCCACGAGACGAGCGAGCTGGCGAACCGAGGCGAGAGGCAGGGATCCGCCCGCCTGATGATGTCGTGTGGATTGTCTGCAAGCCTCTAGCCCTTTAGCCAAGCCACCTGCTGGACGATAAATATTAATGCAGATCAATTCGTGCCTTCTGCAAGTGCCAGCTCTAATATTTGCCCGAGATACAAAATTCCCCCCGGTAGTGCTCTGCTCACACGTAACGTAATCCGTGGTTGCTTTTGGCGCTATCGCCAAATCGGTGCTCCAAGCTGTGGCTTGACCTTCACTCTCTCACAAGCTCCCACCTCGCACCCACACCCCGACCTCTACACCACCGCACACTGCTTCACCAGGCCAGACTCGTCCCGCACGCTCCCGCAAGCATGTCGCAAGTCCACGCCATGTCCGACGACCAGGTGAGAGTCTCCCTCCAGCTGGTCCCAGGCAGCTCTCGCCCGCCAGAGCTCCCCGCCGTGCGTCAACAACTGCAGCAGCTAACTACCGCCGCCATGATAGGTCGCCGGCGAGCTCAAGAAAATGACTGCCTTCATCCGGCAGGAGGCCCATGAGAAGGCTAACGAGATACGCCTCAAGGCCGACGAGGAATTCGCAATTGAGAAGTCCAAGCTCGTGCGCCAAGAAACGTCCGCCATCGACTCGTCCTACGAGAAGAAGTTCAAGCAGGCCAGCATGTCGCAGCAAATCACACGCTCCACCGTCGCCAACAAGACGCGACTAAGGGTGCTCTCATCAAGGCAAGAACTGCTGGATGGTCTGTTTGAGGAAGCAGGCAAGAAGCTGAGGGACGTCTCCAAGGATAAGACCAAATACCAGGCCATGCTGAAGAACCTGATACTGGAGGGCGCCTATGCGCTCAACGAGACCAAGCTGCAGGTCAAGGCAAGGAAGGCCGACTACGACATAGTAAAGAAGGCCATCGACGAAGCCCAGTCAGAGTACAAGAGCAAGGTGGAGAAGGACGTGTCCCTCTCTATTGACGAGCGCGACCCGTTGCCAGAGGGATCGTGAGTACACCCGGCATTGGGGCTTTGGCGAAGGCGCATGACTTACTCTACTACAGGGCCGGCGGTGTGATAGTGGTCGGGACCGGTGGTAGAATTGACATCAACAACACCCTTGAAGAACGTCTGAAGCTCCTCGAAACCGACGCACTACCATCCATTAGAGTAATCCTGTTCGGCGAGAACAATAACAGAAAATTCCACGACTGAGAGGTCGGAAGCAGCTTGTACAAGGCTTGAGACCGACTGTAGAGCTGTTGGGAATCTACGCGCGAAGGCATGGGCGAGTTTCGCCAGGCCATGTGAAAGCCATTGGCAGAAGTATTATTTTCCTTGGATCCACGGCCGTGCAAATATGGTGCATTTGTGGAGCCTGTCTCACACATGTACTTGGAGAAGCTTGTAGAATAGTAGAAAGACTTGAGCGGACTTGAGCGGACTTGAGTTGGCTTGGGAGGACTTCCTAGTGTGCAAATTTCAGTTATCGAACCCGTTAAGATTTCCGAGACTCCCAATTTTACTGCCATACTCATCCACACAACTGGACGAGTCTTGTTGAATGATGCCCGTCTTGCGCTATTCCTAAACCGGGTATGTAAACCACGCGATAAGACAAGCGTCCTCCCATCGACCGCATCTCCCATCTGCCCCGCAACACCACCAACACCAATCTCCATCATCACTCGCAGCCTCTATTTTCAGGTCGTACTTCTGCCGAAAATCAACTAGGGCTTAGCAAGCATCCGCCATGTTCTCCATTCCACCTATAACCCCTTCTTGGCTGGCTTTTTCGCTACTCCTTTCAGCAAATTGTTCCTCGGGGTATGCAGTCTATTGGAACGGCGGGGTATAGCGGGGTGGCTGGGGATTTTTGTTGGAGTGGTATTGCCGATCCGTAGAATTGGGATACCGGAAGATAGATGATTTAAATGCAGAAGCATACGTCCTTCAGCATTGGTTTCCCGTTTCCAGCGCCTATCTACCACACCAACTTCAGACTTGTTATCTTGCATCAATAACTCCGTCCAGCGTTCTGTGCTGTATTCGACCAAGATATAAATGTGGGTCAACTCGAGCTCCTTTCCACCCTTTCCTCTTACACAATTGCTGTCAACACGAGATTCAAGAACTCTGCACACACACATTATACTGACACGATGGGTCACCTGCTCAGCAAAGTCAAATCTACAACCTCATTCCCCAAATCCGAAAAGATGTCTCCAGTTGGCATGACCCACTTTGCAAAATGCCAATCAACATTCAAGCCACCGCTCATCGCGAATGAGAATGCCTACTTAGGAGATGTTGCTACAAGGTACATCTATGATCTCCATCCCCCTTTTAACCCACACATCACGTGTTAGGAATGCCTTCTAACTATCAACTAGCCAGGAAGAAGACCCCGACAAGCCAATATCATGCGGCTTCTACCGCCTCGAGAAAGGCACACCCCTTGTCTACACTTATACCTACCACGAGATGAAGATCATTGTCGAGGGTTCTTTCGACATCTCAGACGAGACTGGAAAGGAAGTGCATGCAGTACCAGGCGATGTATTCTATTTCCCCAAGGGAGCGAAGATCACTTTCAAGACGGATGATTATGGTCTCGCTTTTTACACGGGACAGAGGAAGGAGGGTGCTGCGTGAGTGTGGAAATTATGGAGCGAGTTTTATGAGTAATAAGTTGAACTAAATAAGTATGTATTTTAATACTTATTTTCTCTGCCTTCCTACTGATTCCAAGTTGCCACCATTCAAGACGCTCTAATCGCGGGATTTATTAACACCAAATGGTCGAAATGGATCACTAATACAAGAAACTGTTTTGGTTTTACTTGTACAATAGTCATCATTCAAGGTAATCTTCAATCTTCAAGAGATCCCATCAGCCTAATGGGTCTCGCTACATTGCAGGTCCAGTCTTCGCTAATCTTCACGATTAGCTTTCTAACATTGTTTTGATTCTGCAGTGCCTCAAACGCCTCCACAACCTAGTTGAACCTAAGCACCTTCGCAATGACTGGCTTAATATTATTTGTCTCTTCAAATCTGATAAACTCGGCTGACGTGTCTCTACTTAACCAGCAGCAACCTTTCACTATTCGTCATCCTTTAGCACTCGCACTTAAACCCCTCTTGAATGAATTTGGATGTACTTACCAACTTTAGCTCCAAATAGCACACTAGGTAAAAATTCCGCTAGAAGGGGTTCAGATTCTGTCAAGATGCTAATGACGCTGGCAAGTCCTCCTGGCTGGGTGCTGTTTAAAGACTTCATCATAGTCTGCGCGCCTCCAACCTCGATTACATGGTCCACCCCCTTTCCTTTGGTGATGCGGTGGACTTCTTGATCCCAGTCAGGAGTGGTACGGTAGTTGATGAGATGCGCGGCACTGATGGATTTAGCGATTTTGAGTTTTGAATCTGAAGAGGAGGTGGGGATGATGTTTGCTCTGAGGGCCGTTGCGATCTTCAGTTTTTCATCAGTCCTATTTTCCTTAGTTGTATTTCCCTTAGACTTCCGTGATCTGCCTCTGTAACTAGAGAACAACCCACCTGTATAGCAGCACAACTCACACACCCCGTCCCCTGCGTAAGAACCTATTTCCCTTTCAACCTTTCCTTCTCTTCCCCAAACTTCCAATCCTCCACCACCCCATAAAGTCTCTCATCCAACCCGCCCCTGATCGCGCCCCAAGCCGTGGAGCCCGCAGTCACCAATCCAGCAATTTCAATCCCTTTCCACCCCTTCGGCGCTGCAATAGCCCTTGCATCATCCACTACCATCCAGCTCTGCAGCGTCCCATCAACATCCGTTCCACCAAACATCTGATCGCTACCCATATTCCTCACATCCCCAGACAGCCATGCCGCGGGTTGGAGGACTACGTGTGTGCCTTCCTTGCCAGCCCAGGAAGATAGCGGTCCGGTGGTCGATATGATCCCTGCGCCGTCGGCTCCCCGGGTGAAATTAGCTTTGTGATCACCTGGGTAAGCTGGCGAGCGGGTTGTGATCAAGAAGTCACGGAAGTTGAGAGCTGCAGCAGTAAGTTTGATGAGGACTTAGTGCGAATCTAGTGTAGGTAGGGGTTTGGTGAGTTTGGTAAGGTCGTGGACTTTGGTCGCGGTGATGGGGACGGCCTAGGCGGGATTTGGAGTTGTGATAAGGCATTCCAGAGATTCTTAAGAGGTGCTGGCAAGATCGCCAATTGGAACAGGCTGGTAGGTATATCTTCAACTGTTATGCAATGATGCAAGCTAATATCGCCAATGGCCAAGTGCGCATTATACACCCGCAGCTCTCCCATGACCTGCAGGCATCTTCTCCAATATCGTAGCCCGACATACTTCGCTTTTCAACCTCATCCACCACTTCCTGTATTTCTTCTCTTCCGTCTCATCTGCTTGATTTATCTCCTGCATGTACAGATACTCTGGAACTGCCTCTGCAACTACAATAAGCACTGTGGCAGGCTCCTTTCTTTTTCGGCCCCCTTGTTCTTTCTTCTTTCTCTCTCCTACCTTCTTATTCGTGGCTTGAATCCATTTCTCGAAGCCTCTCAACTTCTCCCGAAGAACCTTCATTCCTCTCATTAGAATTCTAATTAGACAACCTGATCCCAACCAGCTATCGAGAGCTACGACCATGACTACAAAAACAACGAATAGGCACACTATTGTTACTGCAATGGTTGATCTGATAGCCTAGGTATGGCCTACTTGCAGAGGTGGTGTAGGTGACGATGACTTGCGACGGCGACGGAACGGGTGTCACCAGAGCCGGAAGCTTCCTGGCATACATCCGTGAAGCTGACATCAAATTTGTCATCCCTACGGAACTCGTTTCCGGAAATATTCACACTCCTTACGTTTCGCTGAATTGCCGGAGCAGATTTTGTACCGCCTGAGAGGAACAGTTTCGAACTCGAAAAGGAAAAAGAGTAGTAGAACCTGCTTACTCAAACGCGCTATAGTTTTTGTTGTAAGTGCATCCACGGATTCAAGTTTAGATTTGCTAGAATCATTATTTAGTTAGGAAGCACCAAGGGTAGTGGGAACTTACCGCCCACGACCGCAGACGTTCATAAAGGCATGCTTGTAAAAGTGAGGAGTTAGAGCGAGTGTTGGGATTCCTCAACTGTTAGATAGCCTGGGTTTGGCGAGTGAATGCACCAGGACGTATCCTCATCACCTCTATCCAAAAGGTACTGGCCTAGCAAGTGCGGCCCACTTAAGAATTCAAATCCACCATCATCACGACTGGAGGTGGTGGCTGTGCAAATTCCCAGAAATTTAGCTAAGCATGAGGGAATCCATTGGTTGTGCGTTCGGCAAGACGAAGCAGCGTTCCCAACCGTACGTAATACGTTACGACTCGCCAAATCAATGGTCGTAACTTCTCAGATTGTGAGTACGTTTTAACGTAAGCATAACATTTAAGTCTACTTACAGAGCGTAACTGTTACAATTTACATTTCTCCTACGTTTTAATATTTTGTAAAAAGTTACATTATAATAGCTTGTATATAGTCTACTAAGGACAATAATTTACTATAAATATAGCGCTAACATAGCTAGTTTTTTTATAGTTAAAGAGCTTTAATTATTAAGCTAAAGAGCTTATTTCTGTTATAAGTAATAGTCCTTTTACTGCTACTAAAGCTCCTCTTACAGTTGCAGCTTGTAGATAAGATAGATAAGAAGTTAAGAGTAATTTTATATAGTGTAGGATAGGCAAGCTGTCTAACTTATTTTTACTATATAAAAGAATTAGTAAACAGAGGGCTATTATCTTTAGCTATAGTAACATCTTTGCAGTAACTATTATAGTATTACTGTAATTCTATTGTTTTTTACTGCTTTTTATATAAATAATTACTAGTAAGAAAGCTTATGTCTATAAAAAAAGTCTACTTAAAGCCCTTATTATAATACTTACTACTTAGTAACTTATGTTGTGTGGATAGCAGTTGCTTATTGTCCTCTGCCTCTGCCTCTACCTTAGTATTAATATACTTTTAAAAAATAGCCTTTATTAAAGCCTTAGCTTTTTTATACTATAAAAAGTACTTACGCTAGTAGTCCTTAAACTAAAGAAGATAAAGCTAAAAGTTAAAAATAGTTATAATATAATAATAAAATATAGGCAGCTCTATAATAAACTTTTTCTAGTATATAAGCAACTTTTCTATGCTAAATGCTACACTAGATTTAAAGTAGTAATTATTACTTTTACTTTTAAGTTTATCCCTTATTTAGAGAAGCTTAGTATATAGGTGTTATAGGTTAACAACAGTTATTTATAAGGATCTGTACAAGCCCTTGCCCTTAAGGTGTTTTATTATAAAGTAAAAAACTTTAAGAAACTTATAAAAGTAATTAACTTTCTTTTATTTATTTTTAGTAATAATTTTAGTAAGAGCAGCATTACTAGAAATAGCAGAGTTAGCGCTGTTATCTTTAGTGCCTTTCTACTTATAAATAAACTTAGTAATAGTGTCCTTAAGCTTATAACAGCAGAGGAGCATAAGATAGACGCTGTGCTAGCGTACACTGCTGTCTTATATAAAATTAAGGGTTCTAAAGCTCTAGAAAGGGTCCTTATTATTAAAAGTAGCTTAAAAAGTTATAAAGGCCTTTTAGCATTTATATAACACTAACACTACATTTATAAAGTTATAGAGCTTACTTATAACTCTATGCTAATAGTATAGTTTAAATTAATTCTAAGAAGCAGCTTAGGCTAGCGCTGCTTTAAAAGCGTTTATCCTTTTTCTATATATAACTGCCTTAACTACTAGCTAGATTGTATAACTAGCGCAGCGTATACAGTGCTTAGAGGTAAGGGGCCTTTTAAGATGTTGCGTAAAGGCAGAGATAGTTTTATTATTATTATTTAACATGTTGTTAGCTACTAAATAATAAAATTTTAATATAATTTTTATAGTGCTAAGGCGCTAAAATAATAAGCTAAGGTACATATACTAATAAAGTGCAACACTACACCTAGAAAGAAGAGGTAGTTTAGAAAAGTTTATATATTAATGCTTAACATAATTTTGCTTTAAGCTATCCTTAGTATTATTTAAATCTCTACTCTCTAGCATAGGCAGGCCTTATTTATGTAGGAAGAAAATGTAGTATCTAAGACTAGAAAAGCTATAAGAAGATTAGCTTAGTTTTAAGTAAAAATGCTCTAAAGTTCTACTAATAATACTATGTTAAAAGAAATGTTATAAAGGATAACCTAATTAATAACTACTGCCTGCAACACTTCCTCCTACTACACACTATAAGAGATAATATATAACAAGCTAGCAACTTTATAAGCAGCTTTAAATAGACTTACTAAAATCCTTAGTATGTTAGGTAAAAGACCTTTTTTAAAAATGTTAATTCTATATTCTTTTTTAAAGTAGCTTATAATATAAGCGTAACTGTTAACTTTCTTTACCCTTTTATAAACGCCCCTAGCGTGGCACCTCTTATAGAGCTATAGCTTTACTTTAGAGCTGTCTTTCTTATTATTGTACACTAAATCTGCTCTATGCTGCTAAATCTAGGAGAGCTGCTAGTTCCTACAGAGCTAGCTCTTGTGCTTTATATAATACTTAACTCTTTTAGGCCTTAGCTTTCTGTTTGCTAGCTAGAGGTTATCCTACTCTATAGTAAAAGCTACTTTGTTGTTAAGACTAGCGTTAGCTAGGTACTTTTTTAAACAGGCATTAAACAGTGTACTGCCTTAAAATAAAACTAAAAAGGAAGATAATAAAGCCTTTAACCTAGTAAAGTAATAAGAACTAGCATAATAAGATATGTTAGTTTACTAAAAAGAGCTAGCTTTAGAGAATCCTTAGAATAAAGCAGTACGCCTACTGCGCTAGAGGAATTAGGACATTTAGCTTATAGTAGGTAAAATAATAGATGTAGATAAATTAATAACAATTTATAGGCTAAAAAGCTAACTATTTACATAAAATAGCACACCTTACTTCTAGCCTTTACTATAAGCGCTAATGTCTTATAAACCTTAGAGTTTTTACTTAATTATTACTCTAAAAATATAACTTTAAACACGCTTCTAACATAATTCTATATGTGTCTAATTAGGTTCTATTTTAGTAGGAAAAGTTGCCTTTTTAAGACGTACTACAGTCTGTAATGGGCGCTCCTCTAGTCATACGTTACGACTCATATCTCTCCTACGTTTCAACGGCTCACGTGACTGTTACGGGTCGTATACTACGACTCGTAGTACGTACGGTTGGGAACCCTGAGACGAAGTGGCTTACAGAAGCCAAAATTCCGGGCAGACTCAGCCATTCATTGATTTCTTTTTGGGAGGAATTTTGGAAGGGCTCTGGGGTATATGGCAGAAGATGTGCATTTGCTTGTGAAACCGGGTAAGTAAGTTCCTCCTGTATCCCGGTCGAGATATATAGCAGGGTCCAGAGAAGGCTGAAATCCGAAGCTGCTCTTTTCGCAGCGAACATATTCTGGTTTCCTCAGCCATCTCAACCCTAATTAGACAAAGAAGGAATGAAATGTAAAACGAAGATCTTTGATCGCCAGAAGCTCTTGTCTCCACTCCGAGATGCCTCCTATCCGCGCAGGTTCTTGATTCCTTTCCGTATACTTCTTCCCCCTTTATTGAGCGCTTCAACACATAAACATCTTTCTTCCTGCCCGTGTTTCCGCATCCTCTAGAGGTGCAAGCCAAACCGTGAAAAAACCTCACTATTTCGAAGAGTAGGGAATCGGATGCCCAAAGTCGCACTACACTGCCAACAGACGAGGTCGAGACGGTGGAGAAGCTGGAGTTCCGCATAACGCCTTCATACATAAGGGGTTTGTCATTCCTGAGGCCCGGCGAATATTCCCATTCGAGCTGCGTGTATCTCTCTCGACAGAAGTTGACGAATTCGTCATGCAGTCGGATACACGGAATCTGTGTTAGAGAAGTCGGTTTCGGCAGACAAACTATTGGCCCTGTGGAGAAGAAAGTCTTAACCCGGATTGCAGCTTGTATATTCAATGACAATGGTCGCAAGTGTTGGATTGCTGGCGCTGCGGAAGGAGCAGTTACTGAAAGAGTGTACTCTGTAGAAGTGTTGGGCAAGTATAATGAGTAAGCCAGCGCAAGGGGTTCGCGGGTGAATATTTCGAGGGATCCAAGGTGGCCACCTAGTGCATACTTCCATATGGGAGTCGCGGCACACAATAGACTCATCAGGGAAGCAGGTGTTAGTGGTTAGACATTGTAGTACAGGAGGAAGTCGATGATCCGAGTAGCCTCGGCGCTTCTCGGCTCTGCTCTATCTCCAGCATGTTCCGCGCGGTAACAGACAATGGTATAAAGCATGTAAGTAACAGAGAGCGAAGGCTGCGGTGATCCCGGGCCCCGTTGACTCGAAATTTACTGGTTGGTTTTAAAAGCTGGCGGGAGAACTTGGCACAGCAGCGGTTTATCCTGATGGGGATACTCGGTTCCACGAGGCAGGACGAAAGAAAGGGGAAAGCTGTAGACTTTCGATCTGTTTGCTTCGTCACCAATGTTAATGGAATCACGGTGTACCTGATATTTTATGTCGAGGAGCTGTAGCAATCAGTGGTTCTGAAACGCCACACTACGAACCAGATCGGTAGCCTTCGTTATCACGAGAGAGTAGCGGTAGGGAGGTAAGATATCATCTCATTGTTTGGCGTGCGGTAACCTCGAACCAGCGTTAACTGTAATCCTGATTTCGTGCTCAGTAGCCAGTCTGTGCAATGGTCGACAGGAGCTGTGAATCTTTGAACGACACCTCCAGAGTTGTGAACTCCAGTATCAATGTCGTCGACAGGTGAACCTTACTCTCCGGTGAGTTTTCCGGGCGTCTACAGCCAAAGCTGTCAGGGCTTGGCCCGCATGCCTCGCATTCTAAAACCCCGATGTCCACGATAACATGGCTACCGTCAGCCATGTCCGAAGACGAGCTATGGGACGTCGCCTACGGAGATTACGGTATGGAAAATGTGGATCTTACTGCGAGCCCGATGTTGGTTGCGTTTATTTGCAGCAGCGATATGAAGTTGTCGCGATAGTTGAAGCCTAATATCGGAAGGGTTCTCACTTGGAACTAGTCACAGATACGAGGCAACGTCTTCGACAACGACTCAAAGGTTAATGCCTAAAGCGCCCTCACTCCGAGTTTGGTATTGTTCCTCCCCAGCGTGTACACCTAGCCGGCATCTAATTGGCTACACTCCATCTCTCTCGCTAATCTCTTCGCCAGGAAGCTACTGCCAACTATCCAATCAGGCGTGGCAAGTGACATACCAACTACAGCCCTGCCTTGGAAGCAGAGGTTCATTTTCCGCACCTTTATCAACGTTAGGGCAAGTGGCTTCATCTCACTCATTCATAGATGCTCTTGTTTCATTCCTCCAAGCTACGCCACGTTAATCCGCGCTTCGCAATTTGGTCCGTACGAGGCATTGCCATGAGCTCCACGGCACTACCACCTGACTCGCCTTGGGATCCAGCGTATCCTGTCGCGAAGAACCAGAACCCTTCTACCATCACGCGTTCTGAAGTTCTGAAGATGTTACGCGAGGGAAAACAGCCAGGGAAGGACTTCGTACTCGTTGATTTACGTCGGGAGGATCGTACGGTAAGTTGCGGAAGCAATCGAAGTTAATTAATAGACGTTTCTAGTAATGTATTATGCTTACAGGGAGGCACTATTCGCGGCTCGATCAATCTACCAGCGCAGGGCTTGTATCCCACCGTCCCTACTCTGTACACCATGTTTGCTACTGCAAAGATCGGATCTGTTATATGGTACTGCGGTGAGTTGCAAGCAGACTTTTGCTTCGAAGTGAGGTGGCTGATCGGGGCCAGGCTCCTCACAACATCGTGGACTCCGGGGCGCCGCGTGGATGGACGATTACATCAAAGCCCAGGGTGATTCAAGCTTGAGGAGTTTAGTGCTGCTAGAGGGAATCAGAGGATGGGCGAATGCAGGTGCAGAGTACACAGCATTTATGGATGAATACGAGGAAGACGCCTGGCGCTAGCGCAGAATAGTACTTGGTTCATATTTAGTTTCGGTCCCGCCGAGTAGCCTTTAGTGGAAGAGTGGATACCGCTGTGTGAAGTGTGACAGTTGTCCACAGTCGTCAGTGGAGATCTTTCCTCGGAGCCGAAGGCTTAGCATTCCGATCCGAGCTTCGATAGGGGCAAAAATTACACTAGTTTCCGTCTCTAACGCGAGGCCGATCGACTAGGTTGATCGGTGATTAGTTGAAACGAAGCGTCTGGTGGTTGGCTGTGCAATTGGGCTTTGGTCTATAGGACGATTATAGATATTGAAGGCAGTCAATTCGTAGGGCTTTGTGATTTTGAGGTCCCTGTTAAGTTAGATGAAGTGTAATTTGGGACAAGAAGATAGGTAATTGGAGCCCGCTAAGCATCGATGTTTAAAGCATCAAAGTAGGGTATTTGTTGCACAGCCCACATACTGTTCGATCTTGGCGCACCGTATACACTTATCGAGCCTCGAAAAAGTCAGCTGATGCGACTTCTAAGTACTCAGCAACGCAGCGAACTGTGAAGTTGGGGGAGGCAGTGGTTGGACATACGAGCAGGCATTTGAACGAAACGAAATTATTGGCCGGAGATTTTACCATGGCTTGCATGTCACCTTTGAGTAGTTTTGATTGAGACAAGTTCAAAGAAACCCTGTACCCTTTGCCTTTGAGGAAGGCAGCGGATCATAGGAATCTAGGAGAGTTGGTGGATCATAGGTGTGAGGAGGCGGAGGAGGGGGAGGATTGTATGAGCTAGGATAATCTGGGTTCGGAGCTCGGTTGGGAAATTTATGCGGGGGGATGGGGTACGTTTCAGATATTGACGCTTGTGCTCGTGTACCGGGTGTCAACATTGGTATAAATGGATTCTGGATCTAGCCTTTAGTTCGCGGAACTGACTGTACATGTATCGTATTCTTAAATGCAATATCTGTCTTTCATATTCTCTGCAGTGGTGGGTGCGTAGATCTCCTGAGATCATGGATGTACATGCAAGCCAAGCACGCAACGTATTTCGTATCGCGCCAGAATTCCATTGGCCCCCCTTTCAAGACAGGAGGTGGCTCGCAGAAGCCGGTGACGGCGTAGTAGGGATCGGTGTTTCACAAAGCCCATGCCTTCGGCAGGACTTTGTGTCATTCAAGTCACTAAGATGGCATGATGATGCTGGCTGGTTTTTGGATTTCTAGAGTGTTGCAGATAGAAATATTGAAAGATAAACGACTCATATTTACTAGTCAGATAAAAACCTACACCGTGAAATGAACCCAGAGTCCCGCCTTATAGCATTATAATTAACCAAAACTAAGGTGGAGCTCTAAACCGCCACGGTGAAGACTGGCCGTTAGCCTAGTCGCACCACCTCCTCAGTTCCCCTTCACAATAGCCGTCGCTCTATAAATCTTCGCCTCATGCGGCCTCACCTCAACCGTAAACGGAATATCATACGGCCCCAAATCCTTCCCTTTCCACAAATCTCTCAACTTATACACGTCCCACGGAACCGTCAAATCTCTCCTCATACTAACAGTAATATCCGCGGTCTCACTTCCACGATTCAGCAAGGCAATTGCCATCGTCTCATCAGACAGCTCTCTCGCGTAAATCTGGACATCTTTATCTTCGGATTCGTAAACCACGGTGGCGGGCTGACCAAGAGCGTCTTGGTTGAGCGCAATGATTTCCTTGTTGGTGAGGGTGTCGAGGTTATATTTGTCGAGATTGCGGACATCAGAACCGATAAGGAGGGGCGAGTTGACCATCGACCACATGCTGAAATGAGTGCGGTATTCAAGGTTGGTAGCGCCGGTTCCGACTAGCTGCTTGCTTTCGCCATTTAGCCCCACTATTAACATATCATAATCATTCCAATGCCCCGGACCAGAATATTGCGTGATGTTGTTTCCACGGTCCAACATATCAAGTACGTCGAAATAGTACTTCTCGCGAAACCCGGGGTAGTTGAAGTCGTCAGAGATATCCTGTCCAATTCGCCATTGATTGGCGCCCTCTTCGGCCGCCCATTCCCACGTATTAGCCCAGCCGCAGTGACATGCGTGAAAGACTATAGAACGGTTAGTCGCGATGAGGGATTTGCTCATGTCGAGCATGACTTGCTGCACGACTTCTTGTGGCTCATCGTGGTGCGAGCAACAGGCGTCGTATTTGAGGTGGTCAATTCCCCACGATGCAAACATCTTTGCATCTTCTTCCGCATGGCCTTCTGAACCCGTGTATCCTGCACATGTAGTGTCACCAGGTCCACTATACATGCCCAACTTGAAGCCCTTAGAGTGTGCATAGTCTGCCAGAGGTTTGATGCCGTTGGGGAATTTCACTGGGTCGACTTCCAGAGGATGTTCCGACCGCAGTCCTTTGTAGCGCTGCCATCCGTCGTCCAAGTTGACGTAAACGAACCCTGCATCTTTTAGTCCGTTCTTTTCCATGGCATCGATAGTTTCACGGATTAGCGTTTCGCTGATGTCGGGGCCGAAGTTATTCCAAGAGCTCCAGCCCATGGGTGGTGTCAAGGCAAGATTGTTTGTGATGTTCACATTACCACCAAGGCTTGTCACGTTCCATGAAGCTTGCGTTGGTTCCGGGCCAGCTGGGGACGTTGTGTTTGGAAATATTTGTGCACGGGCAAAGGAGAAAGCGGTCGCAGCCGCAAAGAATGCTCGTCGCATGGCGAAAATGCGCTTCCTCCCCGAAGAGCAGAAAACTTGACTGCGAAAAGCAAAGAGGGGTGTTTGATTGAAAGCTCAATTGATCTCAATTCTTGGGGTAATGCGAAAATCAACGAAGGGATCGCTGAGAAATGCTCGAACAACGGAGACTGGGTCGGGGAAATTGTGCTTAAAGCTCAAAACTTTACGACGCAGGAACAGCCAAAAATTTATATGAATGTTCCATTGACCATTTAAAAAGATGAAGTACTGCGGTTCCCATTGACCGGATACGCCAGGGCAATCTCAGGAAGGATTTGGATCCTGGTCGGCGCGGAGATATTTAGCCAGATGTGGAGATTTATCCACCCTTCGTTGGAGAACGATGAGAAGCTTGACCGGGCAGAATTCTAGGGTCATAAAGCTCTTGCAGAAGACGCGAGGCACATTTATGGGTATTGTTCGGACGCGTTTAGAGACAACATACCAACGATGCATGGTGCATACAGAGTTGGGGGAGCAATTTCTCTTGCATAGAGAGAAATAGTCACAGCCATTTGAGCGTAAGCGGAAAGTTCGAATAATGACAGGTTTCTGTGGGCTTCCAAACAATATAGAGAGAGGCAGTGCCGCAGCGGCATGGCAAAGGACTGGCCAGAAAGGGTGCTGCCTAGGTTGTATTCTTCGTTAATACAATATAGACTTTTTCAACCGAACCCCGGGAAGCCTATGGTAACCACATATCAGTAGAGAGTCTCCCGGGAGAGCTCACTTACGAGAAAATAGCGCGCAGATATCCGTATAAGGTAGCTCTTCCTTAAAGCTACAACCACCAACGCTTTTTCTGTATCCTTATCATCAAGAACCAATTGGAGCTGAAGGGCTCAGTTCCATGTGCTAAGCAGCGCGCATGTACGGAATATGAATAGTGTGAACGGAATAGGACTGACAGAAAACCAGAGGAACAGACTACAGGTCTGCATGGCCGGACTTTAACGAGAAAAAAGTTCAGAAGATTGGTCACTCGAAGCTTGAACGTTATAGGGGTCGAGCAGGGATACCTTTTCACACACGCTACGATAGCAAAATATTAGGAATTCAGCCAGAAATCCTTATTCCATGCCACTGTCGGTTACCCGCCCCTCTAAGACTAAGGAGAGACTAGCCGTGGTCAAATCGTAGCTACGGCAATATTGCGACTCGTTACCAGGAATTTTTTTTCTTTTCTTTGATCTAAGTTAAGGTATTGCTTCAAGTTACCCACATCTGTGGAGTTTTTCATAATTTAGATCTGCGAGAAAATGGCCTAGCCTAATCTTTTCCAATCCCCACGCACCAAATGTGCCTTGTATAGGGCAGCGAGTCCATTCAATAATCCGGTCCGACTCTCTTCGCTGCAGGAAGGATTCATAATCCAGCTGGCTCATAAATGCATAGTATTGGCCCGCTTGGTGTTGCCGAGTTTCGAAGGCCACAAGGACATCCTTGAACTCATTCGGATCGGCGAGATTCCATTCCGCGAGACGATCCTGGTCCCAGAAAAATATCCCGAGTTCAAGGAACAGTTGTCCATAAATAGCTTCAGGTATTTGATGAGGCTGCCTCACTGATTTGAAGTAGATCCAGCCATGACTAGGGGTGGTATTTTCAGTTGTTCCCAATAATTCTTCTGAGGGCCCTTGAGTAGGGGAGTCGAAGGCTTCCGAATTGAGGCGCCATGGAGCCATTGAGGAAAAGTATCGGGCCGCTAGACGAAAAGGAACAAAATGTGGATTCGCCGGGTAATAAGCTTCCACATTCGAAATTGCTCGTTTGAAGTGCCGAAAATATGACGATTCCTCTTCTAACCTTTCCTGTGAACTATACCACTCGCTGATGAGCCCGTAGAATGCGGAGGAGCAAGTGTGTCCGTAGCTTTGAAGGAACCAGTCTACAGATAGAACTTGCTCAACTTGCCACGGATACAGGCAACTAGTGAAATCGGGCTCCCAAGTGAAGGGGCCGTCCCCAAATTTCTCAGCACGCTTGAACTTGAGTTGAAACTGATAATAAAGTTTCAGAATCAAAAAGGCCTCCGAAATCCGAGCATATTCAGCCCCTGAAAGCGTGATAGGTTGAATCTCGACATCTGGGTTGACAAATGTCTCCATGATAGCATTAACACTTTCGGCATACCGTTCGACGATGATGTCGATCTCTGCTTTGAAGTCCAGGAATTCGTCCAACGCATCCATAGGGTCGCTAAAGCTTTTGAGAATATGCGGGTATGCGATTGGCTGTTTGACGAGGTTCCTCCGCTCAAGGAAGGCCTTGGCTCCGACGGGGTCGAATTCTCCCTCTGCGAGACAATGAAGCGCCCATGATGCATGGAATAGATTCGCTGTAGAGTGTGGCAACTCACGTAGCATCCCTTGGAGGCATGATTCGGGGTGGAGGAGGAAGAGGCTTCTGATGGACGGACTGAGTCGGACAAGGCGTCGGAAGGACGTGAGGTCGCACTTACAAATTATGTTCAATTGAAGCTCGACTGGGAGATTGAGAAGAGGGAAAGAAGGTCGTGCTCGCCGTCGAATACGGCGTGCAGCTCTTTGTGGAGCGCTTCGCGACATTGTGATATCAGTCGTGAATGTGTAGAGAGGCGATGGTCGCATCTTTACATTCAATTGATGCCTAGTGCCAAGGCCGTATTATATAAGCAATACTACTCACAGAATGAAATGATTCATACATGGCGAATTGTTTCAAAGACGAGAAGATTCTATTCCCTAGTTGAGAGTCATTTCACTCAATTGGGGACATCCACTACTCACACTTAAGGACCAGACCCAAAAAACGTAGGCCCTTTTTATGCATCCATATCCCACGACTAACTACTGAAGAGGAATACTCCTTGCTCGTCAGACCAAACAAAGAGATAGTCCAGATATAGCCAATGTGCTGCCCAAACTAAAGGACATGATCCTCCAGCAGAATGATGACTGCCTGCAGCAAGAAGAAAACGAATGTTCCGTGGTCTCCAAAAAGCTGACCCGATAGCATCCTAGAACTGACATGTGTGATTGCACTGATGAAGAAAGTAGTAAAGAGTTGCAGTTACTTCGACGAGAAGGAGCCTTTTCGGAGCCACAAGACGTCACGCGCAAGGAAGATACCTAAGGTCGAGCAGATGGGACGTATCATTTAGTGCTAAGTCATTCTAGTAAGGATTAATTAAAGGTCTAGGGAGGAATATCCGAAACACTTACGCCTAGCTCTTTCGAATCGTATACATATTTCGAAGGTCTCCGAACACCGAAAGGCAATCCCTCGGATGTCCGAGGCCAAAGAGAACCGACACGATCCCGTACGTGGAGTGGAAGAACTCCAATGACGAGTATGTGAGGATAATATAGTTCCAAGGAAGAAAGAACAAATTGTCCGCTCAAAGGAACACCAGCATATACCACTGGGATCTTGCCATTTTCAACCCCACGATAGGCTCCATTTCGCGTGGATGCGGTATTAGGAGAGATGGAGTCCAGAACTACAAACATGAATACCACACGAAGAGATTTTCAAAAGAGGAACAGCCTATGAATCTGGGGAATTCCACAACGTCTGCAAGACCAAAGGGTTGCTTACCACATCGGATAATCAGCTGACACTTCTATTTTGGTACGTCCTATGCCTGGATCGACCATCCAGTATATCGATTTGTCGTGGCCAGACATGCTCCCTACCACACTCGTTAAAAGGAAGTGCTCGGCACGCTGCGAAACTCTTTCTCCACCTCTCCCTCTTTATTGTATTGAATCTTATGCCATCTCTCCTTACCGGACTTGCAAACAAGATCTAATCGACGTAGGTGAATACAACGTGCTAAACGAGACAGCTTGTCCCATAATCATCTCCAGAATACCTCTCTTCTTTAGGATATAGACATATGGATACTAAGAAAACCAAAGTAGGAAGTTTGATCATGATTCGAAGTGGCCCTAGTTGCATATCTAAACTAATGCTGTTATATAAGTACATAAGTGGTATTTGGCATTGCTGAAAGAACGGGAGAAAGCCCGTATTGAGAAACGGCGTCGCAGCTGGAGGCTCAAGATAGCTCATTCTACACCGTAACGGCAAGGTCGCCTTTTATGTATTTGTAAACGCGAGGTCAAGGCATTCGGTCTGCACCTCCCCGTACTGTACCTGTCGGTCAAAGCTTGACGAAAGTCCCACTTGCGCCCTTGACTAACTACTTGTGTAAGAAAGCCTGATAATAGCTAGCTACCGCCAATCAAATTACTCTCTATACGAAGAAGTCAGCAGTGGCAAGATTCTTCCTCTCTTAGTTAATGTTTAAGAGGATGAATTTGTAGAGAACTAGCGATTTCACGCACTGAATTCAGAGTCTGCACCCTTTTCTGGATACAATATATACAGAACTGTACCCTAGACTAATCGGATCATGTCCTTATACCTTGATGGAGGAAATTTGACCATTTGATGAGGCCACATATAGCGTGTTCTTATCGGTGTCCGTCCTGCCAAGCGTGCACGAGGTCGAACTGGATACGGATCCTGGGACCGTGCTAATTTTTCCATCGGCCGTCACTTTCTGAATCTTGCTTCCAGCAGCAACGTACGCAGACCCATCCGGGCCGATGGCGAGGTCATCTGCCTGAGTCGTTGACCAAATTGTTGTAATAGCTCCAGTAGCCTTTCCAGTCTGGTCAACGGGAACTTTCAAGAGCGTGTTCTTGGAGATGTTGGTGAAGTACACGGTCCCATTGAAGTAACGAAGTCCATCAATACCCATCGGAATTCTATCGTACCACTTCATTAGCCAGGGCTTAAAACAGAAAATCCTCCTTCATTGTGGCTCATATCTCGAGGTTTCTGCGCAGCAATCTCCCCAAAGTCGGTATAGTGCGAAATCATAAGGAAAGGATAAGACATGGTGGTTATACTAAGGATTTGTGGTTACTTACCCGCTAGATGACTTAACTAATGTGGGATCCTGAATAGCAATGCTGTAATCGCCAGTGTTCACGTTCATTCGGAAGATAGCACCCTTCAGTGCATCACCAATCAGGATGGTGTCATTGTTGAGAGTAGTGAGACCATTCCACATTTCCGACTCCGGAACTTTCTTGATAAGTGTTGTCTTCGCGGTACCACTCGTAAGGTCGATTTTCCAAATGCCCCTGCGAAATGATCAGACTCTACAAAACGTTAGGAAGCTTAAATAGGTCTACAAACCAAGACCCAGCCTTGTTGCCTCCAGACATGCCGTACTGCCCGGCAACGACGGCAAAGACGTCCGGTGCAATCTCAGTAATGCCGGCAGCGCATGTCGCATCTGTAAACGACGCAATCTTGGCTGCTTTCTGTGTCACTGGATCGAGAGACCACACCTCAGCTTTCTCGAAGAACGAGACCAGAAGCTGTCCGTTCGACCGAGCAGCGATTCCTTCAGCCGATTTAGGAGAGGAGAAGGTGTATACTTTTGTGGCAGCTTGGCGCTTGTCGATGGCTGCCGCTGAGGCCAAAGACGTTGCTAGTGAAAGTACTTCAACAAAAAGGGCTGAGAGACGCATGATGCCGATCAGTGGGTTGTAGAGGAACAGAAAAGCAAGTCTTGAAGATGTGAAACAAAAGGGTTCCTGGAATCGGTGATGTGCCCATACTTATTCTTCGAACAAATCCCGGGTTGATGAGCCCCGAAACGCATTCATTTGCTATATTAGACCAAGACTCTCTCAATCCCATATTTCGTGTAAGAGTGGATTGAGGTCGTCCCTCCTTGAGGCTGAATTAATATTGCAGATCATCTAGACTGCATATGATTTGACGACCAGGCGCTTTTAGCCAAACAGATTAATGAGATGGGGAACCTTTATGGATCGAACTGCCGAAGCTTCCTCATGCTGTTCCCAAGTTCGAATGTGGGACGGATGTCAACATTGTAGACGCCGGCCATGTTTTCGGATGCCATGCCTATTTTCGGTGGTTAGGTTAATGAAACAGTGGGTATAGTTGAAGGGGCGAAGGCATCTCGATAACTAAGCCAGTAGAGGTTATGTAATCATCAATCCCTCTCAACTGACCTGCTTGCATGCATCTGAATCCTGAAGACTTATAGTCGCCTCATGCGCATCGTTGCTCTTCGGTTTGTTCAATCCACCACGTTTTCTTGCCCCTTGACCCAAAATCTAGGCCGGAATTTTGGGCAACCTCCGTGCTTCGTGCGAGAGCTAGTATCAATCCCATACCACGTGTTTTTTGAACTTCAGGCGCCCACGCTGCCTTCGGATGGAACGAACCTCAACATGTAGTATCGTATGCAGCTACTGCGCTTATTGAGGTTTCTCCAAGAGCTGAAGGCTGAAGAGGCACTTCGTTCACCGACAAATCACGGCAGCACTCGCGCCACACCCGAGCACACGCTTCCTCGCGAGAACCTACCCCCCAAAAATAGAGATTCTTCTCTCCGACCAGCGATGAGGTTCACATGTAACATTCTGACTGCGCCGAATTTCCCTCCGACACTAGTTGCCCAATTTCTAGCCCGGTAAGCAACATGCGGAGGCTGAGCACTGCCACCGACTAACTGAATGTGGAAACATCCGAGAGAGGATCCGTGACATGGCGTACGAGAAATGCTTAGACTCGCAGCATGCCCCCCCCAGGCTTTCTACATCAGCTGAACACGATGATTTTGTGCTTTGTTGCTGATTACTTTCTACGACGGTTGCACTCACTAGGTAGTTGTTAGGGAAGATCACTGTTAGGGCTGAGACAGCTGGGTTCTGCGGAGGGGCGGTCACGATGAGGTCGAAAATAGCATCTATAATGCCATCAAAGGCAACATGTTTGGCTATAAAGATGGGAGGACTTTCACCCCATAAGAGCATCACCAACAGCATCAACAGCCAAAGAACAAAATCATCTCAGCTTTCCTATCCTCTTTCCTATTCTCTTTCTTAAAGCCTTTCGCTACTTAATTTCAATACCTTCGCTCTATTCATCAATTTCTACTTCTTAAGTCTTCAAACCAACAATTACATTCAAAATGCAGTACTTCACCGTCGCAGCCGCTATCATGAGCACCGCTCTCTTCGCCTCGGCGGCCCCAACCTCAACTCCCCTCGAGCGCCGAGCCTGCAGCGTCGCCTACCCTCAATCCATTGGATTCCCCATCAACTACGATATCCACCAAGACGCGGGCAAGACCAACGTCCGTGATGACTTCATCTCCTTCACCAACATCCCTGCCGGTTCCTACGGCTGCCAACTTGAAGTCAACTTCCCCGCCGGCTACACGATTGAATCCTCGGGTAACAGCAAGGTCAATATCTTCACCGAATACGGCGCCAACAAGGGCAGCCTCTTCGGCACCGTGGAGTTCGCTAGCTCCCCGGTTGCCCCAACCAAGTACATCATCAATAGCGCCACTTGCGAGAGTGTTATGACGTACAGGATGAGCATTGCCAGCGATTGCGATGCCGGCCGTGTTGCTTTCGCCGATACCAAGGATGCGGGTCTTACCATGACCTACAATTGCTAGATGATTGAAAGATTCTAGAGGGATGGAGGAGGATAGACAACTAGGCATGAGCGTGGGTGTTTTGCTACATTTCGGGATAATATTTGGTTTTTTCTTTTGGATTTGCATAGCGACGGTTAAACGACATTCTTTTGTATACACATAAGCATTGCATTAAATTTGAATGTTAATCTAGGAACATACCTGCTTCCTCACTCCCTCAGGTGCGCTTTTTGACTGCGACTCGAATCGTTCCTGTTCTCGGGGACGCTTTTCGGACTTGCAAGATCTGCAAATTGAATCGAGGAGATGCTAACAGGACGTTTTGTCTATGGGTGCTTCCAACACCGTCCGTTTTCGAGGTAGGAAAAGTTGCTCCATGAATTCTACCAGACAACATCAGGTGCATGTTCTTCGACCAGTGTTATCTTTAGTCACACAGCATTACCGTCGCCTTTCAGGATCATGGGAGAATCAATTCGTCCGCCGTTCGAGAATCTTGGAGGGCTTTTTTTTTTTTTCCAAAGAGGGTATCAGACAAAATTCTCCAATGTTGAGTGAAATGGCGTGAACTTTCAAACGACATCGTTGTTTAAAATAACATACCAGATTGGACACATTAAAGGCAGAGATGCACAGCTTAAGGCCTAAAGGAAGCTCGACGGCAACCCAAATGATCGCTGGCGCATCCTCATACAGTGTCATAGTCAGAGCGCCGGTCTCACCACTTAGTAAAGATGAGGAAAAGACAGCGCAACATACAAGTGACATCTTAATTTTTGGGATTCTTCAGGGTGCGCTATAATCTCGAATATGATATGCCAAGAGCACAGTATCTGTAACTAGCACCAAACCACCAACAGCAAAGATTCCAATGACAGCAAAATTTTGTTGGAAGGATATCTGTAGCTTGTAGACGCAGGTAATCGGCAGTACAAGGGTGGCAACTGGTTGAGGTCAGTCCACTGACCTCACCCATGTTACGTGCTGTGACTAACGTATTTCACCACTCCTCGGGCAACACCAGTCCTCAGGCCGCCCTACTAAAACATGTGCGCCTTTCTAACTAATATCTAAGCAAAAACTAAATTAAATATATATATAAAATATTTCTAGTTGCTTTTACATTGAGTTTTATAATGCCTTACACATAGCACTTAAGTGTAACGGCACAGGCAAGACAATGGGTCCGAGTGCGGTATGAATCCACTGAGAGGCATATGGGAGTTCGTGAGGACTCAGTAACCTGGGAATGTCATTGACACCTATAGGCCTCGTACAAAAGGATATCAGAAAACTACTGAGCTAGCTAAGGAGAGAGGTGCGACTAAATACTTGGGGGAATAGGGGTACAGCAGGGGGCAGGGCCGGGTCGGAGCAGATACGAGGAATCTTCGGATATAAGGTTCGCCATGTAACTTTGAATGGAACGATTCAAACGAATCGTTACATTAAGTAGGTTAGTAGTGCTTACTAGCAGACCTCAGATGTCTAAGCCTACTTATTCTTCTACACTACTCTATTAGCCTCTATAGCTAGCCTTTAACCTTCTTACGCTATAAGAGCGCCTTTAGTAGCTATATACTATTATTATAGTTACTTGTTTTATTTTTAATACTAATTTACTTAACAAAGCTTCATAAGTTTTTTAATAAAAAGTATTACTAAATACATTACTATAGTTATAAGTTTTAGGTTAGCTAGCTTAGTAGTAGAATAAATTAGCAGGTTTATTAATAAAATAGTTTTTAAACCCTTTAGGAAGCTGTCACGGTAATATTACAGCTATCCAACCCCTGAGTACCCTAGGCTTGGTACCGGGTATATAGGCTCCTCGGCCTCCGTACCTCTGCCCCTAAGGTTTACTCTCTCGTTACACCCACTATCCTGCATTCCCTCTCTGTGTCTCGTGCTTCCTTCTCGATACCTCTCGCAGTAGCTTCATATAGTGTTATCTATATCTATATTATCATTAGAAAGGCTTGTTAAATATCCTAAGTATAAATTTTCGAATCTAAATAATTAAATATAGATAGTAATAATCTAATAAAACTAGGTTTCTTTGTAATTAATTCCCTATTCTATACACCTATACAGCTATTACAGATACCTTCATGTGGCAATCTGTGTTGGCGAGATGACAACGTCTTAGGATGTTAGACATAGCATCACAAAGACTCATTCCAACGCTTTAAGCGCGTGCAAAAACTTGAAGTAACGCATTTTAGATCCTTATTCCCTATTCCAGGTTTATCTTCTTACTTGGCTAATATTTGAAGATTTCTAGTTTTTATGTCAAGATGTTGACGTGAGATGACGCCATACTCAAGTGAGATGACGACATACTAAGCGAAAGGGTGCTCAAATCAGGCTTGGCTGACTACTGTAGGATAATTCAGTATCAGTTCACAGAGAATTTACTCATACTAACAAACAGTTACCATTAAAGCAACCCTTTTTGGAAAATCATGGATATCAAATTGGTTCCGGCTACGGTCACGTCCGTCAACGAAATGTGTGAGTGTGGTCGTCGCGCGTTTGCCAACGACGGTCTCGATAATGCTGTTTTCCCTCCTCGTCTGCGAAATCCCACGAACGAAGAAGAAATCTACAAATTCCGCATGGAGCGTATTGGGAAGCGTGTACAATCACCAAACTGGCACTATGTGCTTGCCACGACTGTGCCGGTTGATGGCCACGCGCAAATTGTTGGATATGCTGGATGGGTTGCGCCTGCTCTAGGGAATGAGTCGAAGCATAAACAGGGCAATGATCTTGCAAAAGATCAAGTGGAGGAGCAGTCTCAGGTTGCAGAGGCCGAAAATTTCCCCAACGGCATGGATATAGACGCCTTCAATTTCGCCATGGAAACTGTCGAGAAGGCAAAAAAAGAGACCCTGGGAGAAGATGAACAGAAAGTGTGGTGTAAGTCACTACTATCCTTCCCCTGAATTACAACAATCTATCGAATGCTGAAATGGTACCTAACTCGAAACAAGATCTCATGTCTTTAGCCGTTGACCCAGAATTCGCGGGGAGAGGGATAGCCTCAAGTCTTGTGAAGTGGGGGCTGGCAAAAGCGGATAGAGATGGACTACCGGCATATCTAGAATCAACGCCAGCGGCCGTCGGTATGTATAAGAGACTTGGCTTCGAGGAGCTAAGGGGACTGCATGTGATCAAAGATAACGAGAGCTATTTCTTGACTGTTATGAAGTGGATGCCGGATGTTGGCACCGACATGTAAATTTTGATGTTCAGAGTCCTAACATAAAGGTCATTTATGACAGCTCTTCACGGGGAGAGCAAGATTTCGTGGCGCGGGCTCCAAACATGCAATAGAACCATCTTAATTTAAGACCATTATCTATCTACCTATAAGTAGAATTCACGTTCGCTTACAGATAAAGTGTTAATGTTAATTTAGCCTCTTATTCTAGCATTTACTTAACGGATTTAAGCAGAAAAATCTTTCAATTATTAAACTTTTAAGTCATTTCATTCCCCCTCCACATAACTTTAATTCTCGCATTCTAAGTCTATACCTTATACCTGTTCTAATATTCTAGTGCTCGACTTCTAACTTTCTTAGTTTCCTATAATAGATCCTGCTAGAAACTTAATATGTGCTTTTTTCTATATTCTTCTTTATTGTAACAGACGCTTGGATCCATAGGATCATCGGCACAACTATATGTGCCAAGCGACAGCTCAAAGGCATGCACAAGTTAAATCAGCAAGGATTTAGCTTACATAGTCAATATCTATAGTCACGACGGATTGTCCCCCCTAGATGCTAGGTCCTATCTAAATTCTTAACCTAGCTTGCTTACAGGTAAGGAGCTAAGCTCTTACCTAACCGAAGAGTATATAAAAATACTGCTTACCCCTATAGATAATCTATGTAAGCTAAAGTTAAATTCTAGAGCTAGGTTTACACATCCAACCTAAGATGTGCTAATTTAAAATATAATAGATAGGCGCTGTGATAACCAGCTCGGTCTTTACCATCGTTGTATGAGGATGCGAGGTAGTGGCATAGGTTGGCTGATAACAAGCTCAGTTTGCACCATTGTTGCATGATGTGAGGTGATAGGATAGGTTAGCTATATTACATAGAGAATGGTAAGGTGAGGAGATAGTCAGAGGCTGGCGCGGTCTTAAATAGCCAACCCTGGAAGAATTTATCTCTGAGCCGCGCTAGCCTACATGCATTGATCGGTCATGTGACTAACCTGCTGCGTACAATGCAGGTTAGTTACAGGCGCTGAGATCCATAGAATTCCTAGCATTAGTATATGCATTAAGCAACGGCTAAGTAGTATATAAAAGTTAAATTAGCAAGGATTTAGCTTGTATAGTTAATATTTATAAACAAGATAGAGTGTTCCATCTAGATGCTAGATTCCATCTAGATCTTTGATCTGGCCGCTTGCGGGTCCTTTTAGGTCTAGCCCATCACAAAATGTTTTAGCTAAATATAAACTATAATAGATAGATGTTTGCTATCTAATTTAAACTCTAGTTGTAGTAAGAAAAGGGTTATAACTAACTAAGACTTTTTTTAAAGCTATTATTATCTTTTTATTTATATTAGTTTTTCTAGTAAAGCTTACGTTTACTAGGGATCTCTTAAGATGTTGTTAATGTAAGGCCGGATGTCCCAGAACGGGCCAGTATGGCCTCACCTGACCTCTTTGGAGGTCACATGACCTGTGCTTCGTCTATAAGCATGAATCCTGACAAGCGAGGCTTGGCAGCGATTCGTCTCTCTTACAATACACTTCTATCTTTCTCCGAAACCTTGCTCTCAGTGCTATCCGTGCTATCTACTATCCCATCTTTACAGTTAAAGTAGTGTTAGCTCTCTTTAATAGACTTTTAGTTATGATAGAGATATTCCTAGCATAGCGTCTATGCCATTGGTTTTATCCTTCTAATTAACGGGTCACAAGAGTAGCAAGGAATCATAATGTCTGGTTTAAGGGTTGACTCCAGCGCCCACTAGGCTTACTGTAAGGACGGGGCCCTGTACCACTCCGCCAATACAACCAAAAAGGTGCGAATAATCAACCAACAGTTGATTCTGCGCACAGAATAGTATATATACCCGTCGCGCGTAAGGGCCATCCCGGCCTTACACTTACCAGACTTCAATGGATGCATCGAAATCCTCTTATGTGCCACAGTCAGTGCATCTGGGTGCGGCATGACTTGGCCCGAACGATGTGCTGCAGGTGCAGGAGAATTTGTCGGGAGGGTCCGGGCTAGAGCGCCCAGACTTCGGAAGGGGCTAGCTGACATAAGCCGACCTCGCTGCAAGCCTCATCGTGACTTCCGTGAAATGCCGTCGACATCCTGAATTATTTCCAGAAGTCTGTGCTAGTTCGCCGCTTTGCGATTGACTTTGCAGTGTCCGTCAGCTCTGCAACGATTGCCATCGCTCACTTCCGGCTTGAGGTGCTTGATCGGGAGCTTTTTCGAGGCATTTCCCCACAGCTTGGCGCTATCACAAGCTTAGCACCCCTCTGCCCGAAGCTGGACTCTCGCGGTATCGCGGCATCATCCATTCATGGCAACCGATCTAGGCTCGTTTCAGACAGCTCCAGCAAAGAAGACCCTCGGCTCACCTACCTTCAAGATGGGTGACGTCGTCCTAGGCCGTTATAAATATTATTTCCCGCTGTCCCGCCCTAACTCCGCAACTTTACTGATAGCATTCTACCCCTTGATATCTGCCACAACACCAGAAACAGCATCCGAAGACTCACAATGGCTGCTAATCCGAATGATATCCTGCGCGAGGTCAACATTCTTGGCGCATTGAACGATAACACCCGCAAGATCTTGAGCAGGGACGCTGCTGTCTTCCTTGCTCTCCTCCACCGCAGCTTTAATGAGCGCCGCAAGGCCCTCATCCAGCGACGTGTGATCCGACAGGCAGAGCTCGACAAGGGCAACCTCCCCGACTTTCTCCCTGAGACCAGGCACATCCGCGAGAACGATGCGTGGAGGGGCGCTCCCCCGGCCCCAGGCCTTGTTGATCGGCGAGTAGAGATCACCGGCCCAACCGACAGGAAGATGGTCGTCAATGCTCTGAACTCGGATGTGTGGACATACATGGCAGATTTCGAAGGCAAATACTGCTCCGGTTATCATTCTGAGCGAAATGGAAGCTGACAAATGTTGACAGACTCGAGTGCCCCAACGTGGGACAACATGATTAACGGCCAGCTCAATCTACACGACGCCATCCGCAGGCAAGTCGACTTCAAGCAGGGCGAGAAGGAGTACAAGCTCCGCACCGATCGGACGCTCCCCACACTCATCTGCCGGGCTCGAGGCTGGCATCTGGAGGAGAAGCACTTCACTGTCGACGGAGAGCCTATCTCTGGCTCCTTGTTCGACTTTGGTCTCTACTTCTTCAACAATGCCAAAGAGCTCGTCAGGCGCGGAACCGGACCATACTTCTACTTGCCAAAGATGGAGTCCCATCTCGAGGCCAGGTTATGGAACGATGTCTTCAACGTGGCACAGGACTACATCGGCATGCCGCGAGGCACCATCCGAGGCACCGTCTTGATTGAGACTATCATGGCTGCCTTTGAGATGGACGAGGTACGTCCGCTTCGAACGTCCCAGGTACACAGGAACATACTAAATTACGCAATAGATTATCTACGAACTCCGTGATCACTCTTCTGGCCTCAACTGCGGCCGCTGGGACTACATCTTCAGCACCATCAAGCGTTTCCGCAATAACCCGAACTTCGTCCTTCCCGATCGCTCTGCCGTAACTATGACTGTTCCCTTCATGGATGCATACGTCAAACTACTTATCAAGACCTGCCACAAGCGAGGAGTCCATGCTATGGGAGGCATGGCTGCACAAATCCCTATTAAGAATGACCCAGCTGCGAACGACGCCGCCATGGCTAATGTTCGCGCTGACAAGCTGCGAGAAGTACGTGCCGGACACGATGGCACCTGGGTCGCTCACCCGGCTCTAGCCGGCATTGCTTCAGATATCTTCAACGCGCACATGCCCACTCCTAATCAAATGCACATTCGCCGCGAGGATGTCCACATCACCGCGAATGACCTTCTTAACATGAACGTTCCAGGCAAGATCACTGAGGAGGGCATTCGAAAGAATCTTGATATTGGCCTTGCTTATATGGAGGCTTGGCTCCGAGGCGTTGGATGCGTTCCCCTTAACTACTTGATGGAGGATGCTGCGACTGCTGAAGTGTCCCGGAGTCAGCTGTGGCAGTGGAGCAAGCACCAGGTCTCTACTGCCGAAGGCAGGAAAGTCACCAAGGACTATGCGCTCAAGCTTCTGCGAGAGCAGGCTTCAAAGTTGAGCGAGAAGGCGCCAAAGGGAAACAAATTCCACTTGGCTGCGAAATACTTCGAAGGCCAGGTCACAGGAGAGGATTATGCCGAATTTTTGACATCGTAAGCAACTTTGATCTCCACCGCCATAACCCTTAGCTAACGAGCTTTTAGATTGTTATATAACGAAATCACAAATGTGGGTCCCGCAAAGGGTGCTTCCAAGTTGTAGTTCCGTCCCCTCCAACCCTTTCCTTCCATCTCGTCTTGTAACCCTACCAATGCAAAATTGAAAATCCAAAAGCAACCCCTCGTCCAGGCTTAAAGCGGGGGTGTATTGTAAGCCAATAAAATGCAACTAAATTGCTTTGACTTTGAACTTTATTCGCTGCTTTTGCTGTTTGTTTTACCTAACGCAAGTCGTGACACGTGAACAAAAGCTAATGTGTCCGTGTCCCAATAGGCCCAGCCCCCGGTCGCAGCAGCTAAGCTTTGAGGCGTCACTGGCGAACCGAGGTCGAGAATGTGGGTGAATGGATTGATTTGGCTGGCCCTGGAGTCGGAATGTCGGATGGGTGAGTGGTTGGCATGTGATGATCTCGAGAGATGAGCTGATGCGATTTGTGTGGCACACCTTATCTACTGTAGATACGGCGATCTTTTCGGTTGGGCGGGATTTTTGATTTAGTTCTCAAATCGGGAATTTGAGCAGGCTTGGTTTCATGTATGGTTTTTATTCAAATTTTTTTTCACTTGTTTCTAAGCTACAGTCCCAGCTTCACCCCGAAAGCAGCTGTAACACAATTCAATCTCACTCGTAACTAACTAATAGATATAAGATAGGCAAAAGCACATCCACGTAATTGATAGCCGTCCAAGAAGATACCTCTCTCGAGCTCACAACTGTATGACCAGAACAGGTCGGCCACTCTCCCTGCTAGCATCATCGAGGCGTTCATCTGCTTCTCAAGATTTAAGCATATTCAGTCTAGTTCCTTGCAGATTCACTGTCAATTGAAGCATAACCCCTGCGTGAGAGCGTTACAACGCCACACTAAAGGCTTTACAATCAGCCACACCTACGCCCTGTCCTAAGCTAAACTTGTTCTGCGGAAGACATAGTCAGCAACAAGGCCCTATGAGATGCTTCCACATACGTGTGGAGCAGATACCTATGAGGTCGCCTTTGAAAACCTGACAAATTGCACTAGCAAAGATAAGGCTGGCTATAAGAAAATCCGGTTCTACGGAGAGCAAGCTGCACACATCTGTAACAGGGAAGGTTGTAGGAAGCGTCGTTGCGCTAAGAACGCCCTTGCCGTGACACCTTCGCTTACGATGTTATTAACTGAGATTCTAACATCGGAAAGACAGGAAAATCATGAGATGAGGCGTTCGGTTAGTCTTTTCAGCCTTTCGTGACGTCTAAAGGCTCCATTGTGACTTCGGAGTGCCTCCGAAATCTGTCATGTCACAGCTGATATGATTGCACCGAACGATTTTATATTCCGTACCCGCGAGCTGAGCCTGTATGATTATGCTCACGAAACGGGGACCTCTTAGCGATGCGCTCATAACTCTGTAAATGATACTTCTCTGGGAAATATGAGCTGATTGAAGGTGAATCGAACACTATCGTCTCTTCATGTGGAAGGCCGAACAGTGTGACTCTGTCTTGCCCATTTATTCATAGAGCGAGCTCTTACCACTTTAATACTTGGCATGCACACAACATTGTCTGCCAGAAGTGGGCAAGATAAGGTGCGTGAGTTAACGATAATAGCCAGACCACTGCTTAGAAAGAGAGAAGTCCTGAAGTTGGATAAATCTATGAAACAAAAATAAAGTGATGTATTTCTTTGCGCTATTCACACTCCTCTTTAGCACTATTGGTGCACTCGCCGAGCGAATTCCATAGACGCCAACACTGTCACCTGAGACATATCTTTCTTCTTCAGCATAATCCGCCGATATACAGCTTTCCTCCCCTGCAAATGTCGTCGAAGTAGACCCTAGCACCGACATCTCTCTTCCAGGGCTGGCCGAGTTCGCTAAACGCCAATCACATTCCGCTAGACTAGTTTCCTTGCTGCTGTAGCGGTCCTTGCGGCGGTTACAGTTGCGCTTGCGACGTTGCTTAGTGGTGTGACTGTGGTTGCTGTTGCTGTTTAGTGTTAGATATGTGGAACGATAGGCGGTGTTATTAGATCCAATAGTTGGAACCAGATGCATTGATCTTAGCAAGTGTGTAAAGGAGATCTAAAAATTATCACAACAAACTAGCCGACATACCTAGCAGTGTAACGTTAATTCGAGTATGTGGATTGCAACTAAGAAAAAAGAGGGAATATTCCTAGCCCCTTCCTTTATGTAGCGGAAAGCCCACTATACCAGAACTACTCAGACTCGGCATCTTACATCCACCTCCGTTCTGTTATGAAGCTGTCGTTGATCATTTTGTATTCTTTATCTCTTCCCGAAATGTGTTTTACTTTCGACCCTAAATTTACGTACGACTTTCCCGTCTCCTCAGCCGGCCCTCTTGTCACATGTACACATGCTAGAACGATACTCTGGGCTTTGTCAGCCGATGTAGTAGTTGATGGTCACAAGAAGGAGCATAGGGGTAGGATAGGCGGAGGGCGACGGTGATTTTGTTGGTCAGTAGACCTACATACGGACGAAACGCGTCGCAAGGTTTGAAAAAGGATGATGTGTCAACGCCAAGTCACGCGGAGTGCTGCATCATATTGCCTACATGGATAACGTGCAACAAGGCAGAGGGAATTAGGATAGAAATCTGTACCTTATTCATGTTCTCCCTCATTATAGCAAAAGGTGTAACACATCATGCCACCCTGCTCAAGTTCCACGGTCAGCGCAATATGCTGCAACTAGATCGAGTCTCAGGGGCCAAGCTTTCCAGTCATCGTAAAAGATGTAAGTCATGCAATTCATATGAAATTTGTTCAAAAGCTCCTTACCAGCCTATGCATAGAAATCCATCAGTGGCAAAGATTGGAGAAATTAAAGTCTGTATAGCCATATGACCCTGAAGTTCCATTCCTATAGTGTTGGTTTAGAGAAGGATCTGTCCTTTGTTCAGTTTGTTCATGCAGGAATGGCAAGCCGTGGTGCTGCAGTTCGGGCATTAGAGCCCAAATATGTACTGCATCTGCGGGCAGTGAATGCAGTGATGATAGCCTACTTGTTTGTTCTAGTAATATTTATGTGTGCACCTATATGGTGGAGACATATATCCTTTAGCATTCTGTCGCGTATACTGAGAGCCTTGGCTGGGGCTCAGAGCCTGGGACGCAGCTCGGGATCTGGAGATATTATGTTCCGAAGCTCGGTGTATATAAGGAGAGCCTTCAGCTCTCTTAGATAGCAGAGTCACTTCGTCCGATCTTCTGAACAGCTACTGCCAGGCTATTTTATCCTCCACACATTCCGATTAGACTAATACGTGTTAGTCAGTATTAGATAGGTTCGACTTCATCTTGCCTTCTCAGCAGCTTCCTTTTCTGGTTGTTCCTATTCTCGATCTCGAATCTTCTCCCCACACCTCCTTTCCGTCTCAGCTTTCACTCGCTCTCGTACCTGCTGTCGTGCCTCTCGCGCTGCCATTTCCGCTTTTCCATGAATTCTCGCTGTTTCCGTTGAATCTCTTCCTTGGAACGGTTTTCCTCCCCCCCGCTTTCTCCTCACGCAGCTTCCGCAGCTTCCGCAGCTCCTCTCCTCATTACTTCTTTGAACTTCTCCTGTTTCACTGTTCTAACCACATTCCTCTGCAATCTGTCACTTTCAAATCGATGCCTTTCCTCTTCATCGACTACCGGCACACCCCATGTCCAAGGAGTGAAAACTGACTACCAACGGTGTTTTTGCGCCAATCTCTCTGACACTTGCGCCTCTTCGTCCTGCTTGTCCATCATATCGAGATCTTTCTGCAGCGCTTCTACCTCCTCTTTCGCTGTACTAATGAACTTTTCTTGTGCGTCCACCCAGTCCCACCATTGCCGCCTCTTCTGCACACTCTCCTCCTCTTTTGTTCGCTTCTCTTGCGCACGGGAACAGGCATCCAGCGCAGAAACTGTACCCGTGGCTGACCCTTTAGCAGCTGATATGCTCGTCGTTTGAAGGTCGCGTCATATATCGTCCGTTTGTTCGTATCCTGCAGCGTCTCCCAGGCCAAGGAGGTCTGTAACACAGTTAGATTTAGCATTCATATGAACCAGTGCCCCTTTCATGAAAGCTTTTCCCTCGAATCAGCTAAATTAGTAATTTGAACTTCTCCACCATGCTTTCAGACCCCCTATTCTTATCGGGGTGATGGAGGAGGGCAAGATGATGATGCGCCTTTTTGATATCGCCGACACTGGCAGTGCGGGAGACCTCCAAGGTGGCGTAGTGGTCGAGCGGGTTGGCCATGTTCGCGGCATTGTGGGCGCCTTTCTCAGACGCCAGGCTGGAATTGCCTGAATGTGAACTAATGAGCTTTTAGTATCATCGGTGTTAGGAGCGTGGCGGTGGGGCGGTATGGCGGTATGGCGGTAAAGCGCGCCAGTGAATGGAGTACTCGATGAGTGACATGCGAGGGAAGGAATGACAAAATGTATAAGCCTTCACAAAGAATAGCCGGTATATACACATCTCAGCCTATTCAAATGCCTAAATATTTCCTTTTAAGGGCCCAGTCAAACCCACTACGCAACGGTATTACGATGGAGATGATCTGTCAATTCTCTTGCTGGAATTAGTGAGAATATTAGCAAGAAGCAAACCTCTGCCATCAACTCCGTAGACGGCAAGGTCGATGCAAGCGGAGGGGATTTTGTGATCGAAGTTAGCTCATCGTGTGTGCGGTAGCTGTAAATGAGTCCATGGAATTCCTTAAACTTCTCGCGTGGGGTGATGATTTCTTCCAAACGATCCTCGTCACAGGCGCGCTCTTAGGTGACAAACGCACCCATAAACTATTCGTGCTGCTAGGTGAAAATTCTATGGTCCAAGCTCCTCTTTCCAGTCACCTCTATGGCTTCATTGCCCTCCATTCTCAACTTTCCACAATTTCTCAAAATAGCTCTTAACTTTGATACAATCTGCGTATATATATATTTAAATATTTCAAATTTACCTCATCTCAACTCTGTGGTCTAGCGGTATTCAGTGGTCAGTCTATACTTGGCCTATAACAAGAAACTAGATAATAGCCCAGGGTTCGAGTAGGCTGGTTTGAGTATAGGGTTCCAAGCCGAACAACAGACACTAAAGTGCTTCTGGACCTTTTAAAAAAGGTTTCTGGCTAAAGCTCCCAAAGCTGCAAAATTTAGTCGACGGGACTATAAGATAGACGAGCAGGTATTAGCCTTCCTTTTCGGAAGCTTGGATGACATAATTAGGCGTCTCGCTTAGCGCACAGGCCAGAATCTAATATACGTCCACTAATTGCCTCTCTTACTTCTGATACTACATGCTTAATCTAGGAACCACCTCTCTCTTAACTAATATAGGGGAAATGGAGGCCGGCTTTAACACCACATAGCACCTGGATAGAGAGATCTTGACTCAGGATTCCCGTCCCGATCAACTTTTGGCGAATTGAGGAAGACCGGAGCTGCGGCGACTGAGGGGGTTGCAAGATAAGTA